GGAATTCTCTAGGAAGCAAAGCCAGAGGAGATACGGTGTGGAGACGAGTCTGCAGGTGACAGCATCACCAGATGTTCACACACAGCTCAGGAAGTGGGTCCCTTCGCGGTGCCCAGGGTCTGTGAGGCACGAGCAGCAGTCTGTTTCCTGAGCCTTGTGTGATGAGTACACAGGCAGTTGCTTTATTTTAATTTTTTTAAATTATTTATTAGAGAGAGAGAGAGAGTACAAGTGGGAGGGGCAGAAAGAGAGGGAAAAGCAGGCTCCCCGCTGAGCATGGAGCCTGACATGGGGCTCGATCCCAGGACCTGGGGACCATGACCTGAGCCGAAGGCAGATGTTTAACGACTGAGCCACCCGGGTGCCCCTATTATCACTCTTTTAAACTTTGTGTATTTATTTTTCTCCTTTCCTTCTCCACAGTTTATTATGAAGAATTTCAAACAGAAAAGTTGAAAAGTGTTCAGTGACATCTCTATTCCACTATTTAAATTCTAATAATTTTACTATGCATTTAAAATCACATCCATATGTTTTATAATTTCTTTTGTATGTATGATATATTTCATAATCAGATATTTAAGAGGCTAATAGAGGAAGACCAAGGAGTCTCCAGTTTGAATTACAGATCTTGGAGGCAAACACTAGTGGGTTTCTCAGGAAATAGGAGAATGGAGTCTGTCAGAAAAGAGTTGAAATGAACATGTCCCGGGACGCCTGGGTGGCTCAGTCGGTGAAGCGGCTGCCTTCAGCTCAGGTCATGATCCTTGGGGCCCTGGGATTGAGTCCTGCATCGGGCTCCCTGCTCAGTGGGGAGCCTGCTTCTCCCTCTGCCTGCCGTTCCCCCTGCTTGTGCTCTCTTTCTCTTTCTGACAAATAAATAAATAAAATCTTAAAAAAAATTTTTTTTTTTAAAAAGAAAGAAAATATGCCCCTTGTTTTCTTTGGAAAAAACATCTCAGTGTGAGTTTTATTTACAACCAGTTGTAGAATTTTAAATTGACCAATCTGTATTGACTAAAGAAACGCTAGAAGTAAGTTCAGAATTTTCTGTATTACATCTGTATTTCTTTTTCTTTTTTTAAAGATTTTATTTATTTATTCATGAGAGACAGAGGGAGAGAGAGGGAGAGAGAGAGAGAAGCAGAGGGAGAAGCAGGCTCCCAAGGAGCAGGGAGCCCGATGTGCGGGACTCGATCCCAGGACCCTGGGATCATGACCTGAGCCGAAGGCAGACGCTTAACCATCTGAGCCACCCAGGCGCCCTACATCTGTATTTCTGTCTGCTTCCAGAAGATTTTGAGGGAGTACTATTGAGTGCAGGTGTCCTAGGTAAAGTAACATGTATACAGATACACACGTATGTATGTGTGTTCATTTATGAGAAAATCCATCGTAAGTAGTGCCTTGCAGTGATTTTTCTGTTAGAGAAAATGAGTAGTTACCCGTGATTCCATCCTTCTAACGCAAAATTTTTTTTTTAAAGATTTTTTAATTTATTTTTTAACAGAGAGAGACAGCGAGAGAGGGAACTCAAGCAGGGAGAGTGGGAGAGGGAGAAGCAGGTTTCCCGCCGAGCAGGGAGCCCGATGTGGGACTCGATCCCAGGACCCTGGGATTATGACCTGAGCCGAAGGCAGACGCTTAACGACTGAGCCACCCAGGCGCCCACTAACACAAAAATTTTTCTTGGCTTGGTTTGTTTTGTTTTTAAGTAATCTCCACACCCAATGTGGGACCTGAACTTACAGCCCTGAGATCAAGAGTCACGGGCTCCACCGACTGAGCCAGCGGGTGCCCCAAATATCTTTTATGTTACATCTGTACCAGTTGACTGAGTGTATTTATACTTTTTGAAAATGTTATTTCATTTAACAAACACTCCTTAGGTTTTATTCACTTTTAATAATTCTTATTCTCGCAGCTCCTAATATGCCGTCATTTTGAGGAATTGCAATTCAGTAAATTATTTTTCTAATTTTGAGTTATATCTTTTTTATTTAGAAAAAACTCACAGGAGTGGCATTAGTGAATCAGGAAAGTCTCAGTATCTTTATGGTACTTGCTATATCTTGTCACTTTGTTTTTAGGTACAAGTGCTGCTAGAAAAACACAAATGGTCCCAGTTTTATTTTGGCCTGGTCAGCACTGTTGTGCCTTCTAAACAAGAGTTTAAGACATATTCTCAGGATGAATTTCATTATTTGTAACTAGTTAAAGGACTTTTAATAATAATCTAATCGGTTGCTAATTAAGCTCTACGAATAAATACAGAGTTCTCAGTTTATGTGTGTATTACTTCATTTCTAAAAGCCTTTGAGGTGGTGTTCTGCTAGAGTGCAGTTGTATACAAGATAGTATTTTATTTGTTATTTAGATTTTAAACAACCATCCTCATTGGAGATTACTTTTCGGTGATTATGATGTTAGAGAAAATGGATAATTGTAGCTCTGTGACCTTACCCTACTAATGCTATCTTTTTTTTTTTTTTTTTAAGATTTTATTTATTTGGGAGAAAGAGAGAGACAGAAGGAGCAGTGGGGAAGGGCAGAGGGAGGGAGAAGCAGACTTCCTGCTGAGCAGGGAGCCCCATGTGGGACTCGATCCCAGGACCCTGGGATCATGACCTGAGCCGAAGGCAGACGCTTCACTGACTGAGCCACCCAGGCGCCCTTAAGTTTGTATTTTAAAGACTGCAGTATCTCTCCCAGTAGAATACTCAGGAAGACAGTGTAAGAGAAAGCAGAGTCATTCTGAAGGCAAGAGTCTGGCGGGGGGGGGGGCGCGGTGCTGGGGTGGAGGGGTGGACGACAGCGAGGAATGCGGGAGAAGAGGGGCCAGCCCTCCCTGCCCGTGTCTGTGATGAGCACAAGTTGTTTATTTCAATGACGTCCAGTGTTTCCACCTTTACCTGTGGACGCCTAGTCCCCCAGCACCGTTTTCGGGAAGACTTTCCATCCCCTTTGGGGCTGTGCAGCCTTGAGGGGATGACTGGGCAGTGTGAGTGTGCGTCCCCTGGGCTTGGCCTGACTCTTGTCATCTTCCCACCCATACACGGCGCGACACCGCCCCAGTGGCCCAGCTCCGTCCAGGGATGCCGAGTCTGCCCCGCCTCCTCCTCCCTCGACACTGTGCTTTCAGTTCATGGACTTTGTATTCTAGATAGTTTATTTTTCAGTTCTGGCATCTCTATTTGGTTCTCTTTCTTAATAGTTTCTTCTTTCTCTTGTTCTTCTTGCAGTATGTTTTCTTTATGTCCTTGGGCATACTTCTTAAAGCCACTGTAAGATCTTTGCTGCTAAGTCCAGCATTTGCGTTGCGTGGGGTTTGTGTCTATGAACTGTACTCTGAGGATGGCTCATGTTTTCCTGTGCCTTTGTGTTTGGGAGACATTTTGGATGTCATGAATGAGAGGCTGTAGGGACTCTGGTTTCTTTTACAGTCTTCTGAAGAGTATTGATCATTTCTGCTTTCGTAGTTAACGTGATTGAATTTTAATTCTCCTGCGGTAGGGCACCGGAAAATCTTAGTGTGCTCACGTTGGTCTGTGCTTGGAGTCTGTGTGTGTGCCTGCTGTAGGGGGCAGCCAGAGATTAGGGAGAGGACTCGGGGCCTCCCTGTGTCCAGCCTTCTCCTGGGGCGACTCCCCCTTCCTTCTGCGGTGGTTTCGTGCTCTCTGTCTTCGTGGTCTTCAGGCCATCGAGGCTCTGTGTCTGGTTCTGGGCTGGTCCGCACAGCACAGGCTGGGGCCTGCCGTCACGCCAAATGCCGTGAGACTGTCAGCTTCTGCTCTGTCCATCCCTTTCTCTCAGGCGTCCAGTCCCTTTCTGCAGAGTTCATGTCTGTCTGGAGTATGTGCGGTCTAATAGGAGTCACTTGGCCATTACTGGACACAGAACCCTTTATCAGTTTCTTTTATTAAAAAAAAAGCCTTCTTTTGATTATAAAAGTATGTGTTCATTGTAGGATATTTGGAAAATCTAGAGAAGTGATCACACACAAATTATAAATTACCTGTAATCGTATCCCCAGAGGTAACCACTGTTCACATACTGTGTGTTTTTCAAATCGTTCTTTTCTTTCCTCCCTCCTTTCCCCTCCCTCTCTTCTTTCCTCCCTTCATCTTCACTAAACGTAGATAGGGGTGCTTACTTGCCCCTCAGTCAGTCACTGCACCTGTCCCCATGGGAGGCCCTGACCTGCGGTGTGGCTGGTGCTGGCGGAGTGGTACCTACCCTGGGGCGCTTACCTTGTGTCGGTGTGTGTAACTTTGGCATTTAAAGTGCCTGGCTAAGGAGAGCGGACAGAGTTGAACCATGAAAACAATTAGCAACTAGTGCTTGGTAAACATCATCCTTAGCACCTAGCAGCCCCGCAAGGATGGTACAGAGATGTGAAAACGTGGGGCGCCCCGACTTGGCCACTTCCTGGGTGTGCCAGAAGCTTTCCATGTCAGCAGTTCACATCACCTGGATACGTGTTACCCAGCATTACCCAGCTAGGTAGGGTGCTCACTTGCCACAAGTGACAGGTTCATCAGATTGCTGTCTGTCAAGTAGGGTTTTAGTGTCATTTTCCAGGAGGAGGAAATTGTCAACCTTTCTTTTTCTTATTCAGCTTTTGTGTCTTGGGGGGCAAGTGATGACAGGCAGCGTGACAGGGAGGCTCAGCTGTTGGATTGAGGACTGGTGTTTCCCGACACTGGCCAGTCCTGTGCCGTCTCTGTTCGTCTCTGAGGGAATGTAGATCTGCACTGATAGGAACTCCATTTAAAACCAGAATAAGATCTTTCCAAGTCCTTTTTTTCTCCTCCAGAGGTAAGTTAGAACTTCCAGTTCTTTGTTATATATAAACATACATGCAGCGGGCAGATAACATTTCTCTAGTTAGAGAGTAGGGAGGCCCGTGTGTGGAATAATTACAATAGTTTAGTTCATACCCGTTCTTGTAAGGCACCTGCACGATCAGAGTCTCATGTTTTCATTTTCTCTTTCAGCAGCAAGCTCTGGCGGGGGCCCTTGTGGCGGGGGCCGGAAGTGTGGGAGAGACGGACCCCTTTAAGAGGCAGCAGGCGGGGACCCCGGCAGGTACGTCCTGGAGCACCAGCCCGCGTGGCCTGAGGGCACGTACAGCGTAGCGGCCACATGAACACTGACGTGCTTAGTTTTGGTGACTTTCTTTCTACTTGGAGAATTAATTGTTTGTGCTGATTATCAGCTGAAGAGAACATGTGTTGTGGCTGTAGGTGTGTGTACTGAAGGTAGAAGTTTGCCCATTGAGTTCGGTGTGTCCTATTTCGGTTTTCTGTGCTCTGGCAGGCTCTTAGTCCTCAGGATTGAGGGTTAAAACCGCCTTATTTTTCATGTTGTCACTCGTGTTTTTTAAACTGAATTTTTTCTTCTAATTATAAAAACACACATTTCATGTGAAAGATTTGGGCAGTCGAGGAAGGTGTGAGTCGAGTCTCCCTCTGCTTTGGTGTTCCCTTCCTGTGCCCCAGCCACAGAGGAGCTGCTGCTGCCGTCTGCGTGCGTGCCAGACCTCCTGCCCACACGCTTGGTTGTTCCATGTGGTCATTCTGAGGGAATGGGGTTGCACTTCCTGTGCCCTGTCCTGTCGCCAGCAGTAACTTCCTAGGCCGCCTGCTCAGGACCACAGTCTTTCCGACGGCTGTGCATTCCTCGAGCACATGCGGGTCCTTCCTTCATCACACCCTCGGCAGTCCTTTTTGTTACCACCTTTTTCCGTGAACACGAGATTGAATTCCTACTCCCAGATTTTTTTTGACATGTTTTTCACCGTATCTAAGGGAGAAGCTCCTAGAAATGGAAGTGCTCAGTCAGAGCACATGGGCGACGCACACGGCCCCGCAGAAGGGCCAGCCCTTCTTCAGTCCCATCTGCAGTTTCTGATGCTCTCATGTTTTGGCCAGTTTATGAAGCATGATTACTCTTCTGGTCTTTGTTGATCTGCTGGGTAAACACAGGTCCTCTGTTGTGCTGTGGAGCTCTTCAGTTTGGATGAGGTTGCTCGGTCCCTTGCTGTGTCATTAACTCTTTGTGACTCTGTCCCTCTGCTCAGACATTCCTGCTCTTTGCCCATTCTGTGTGTCTGGTTGCTGGCACTTCTCACGTGAACTTGGAAGAGCTTTCCACATGGCAGCCCTGCCAGGCTCTCGCCCGCACGTGTGCTGCAGACGCCGCGGTCTCCTGGGGTGTCACTCGCCCTTGCTTTTGTAGGAGGCTGCTTCTGATAGTTGCGAAATTTTAATGGAAAGAAATTATCAACCTTAGCTTTTCTGGCTTCTGGATTTTGGTTCACATATGGAAGGGCCTCCCTGTTCAAAGACTATAAAAACACTGACACATGTTTTTTCTACTACTTCTGTGGTTTTGTTTTTACATCAAACTGCACCTTTTCTGAAAATTATTCTAGAGCAGTCTAAGCGGCCTCGGCTTGAAGTGGGCCACCAGGGGGCAGTTTTCCAGCACCCGGGGGCGAATGCAGGGGTTCCTCTTCAGCAGCTAATGCCGACAGCTCAAGGTAAGGCCCAGCGCAGCACTGGCCCTTCTAGCTCAGAAGGAGCGCGTGCGGGGAGAGGCCTTGCGGCCCGGCATCTGGCCAACACTGGCACGGTCGCGGCAGCGCGGTGCAAGTGGCTTCTGGGGCTGGGGCCTGGCTCTGAGCTCCGGTGCGGGCGGGGAGAGGGCCTGCGCAGGCGTGCGTGCCGCCTGCGGGAGCTGTGCCTGTCCTTGTCCTTCGGCTCCCCTCCTCCGCTCGCCTGCACGCTCCGCGGGTGCTGCCGCACTTGGGGTGCTGGTTGCCGTACCTGTTCTGCTGGATGCTAGCTTGCAGGGGTCAAGCGCCTTTCTTTCTTTCTCTGTGTGCTCATTTGTAACATCAGAGGTAATGTAATAGAAGTTTCCGCCAGCAAAATTTCCCATTGGGAGTGTGTGATGGCTCTGAGTAACGGGTCTGTGACGAGCGCCGGGGTGTGAGGTCTGCCGTGCGGTAAGGTGCTCCGGGCTCCAAACTCAGCGCTGCTGGGGCTGTTCCTGTCTTGTAGGAGGAATGCCTCCCGCCCCCCAGGCCGCTCAGCTCGCCGGACAGAAGCCAAGCCAGCAGCAGTACGACCCGTCCACGGGGCCTCCGGTGCAGAACGCCGCCAGCCTGCACACCCCGCCGCCGCAGCTTCCCGGCAGGCTGCCCCCGACCGGCCTCCCCGCCGCGCCCCTGCCGCCAGCACTGCACTTTCCTCAGCAGCCGCAGGTGGTGGAGCCTCACACACAGCTCCAGGTCCCGGCGAAGACGCAGCAGCCAAATGCCCCTGTCCCCGTGCCCCCGCCCAGCCAGCTGCCCGCTCCGCCGCCGCAGCCCATGCCGCAGGCCCTGCACGCCCCGATGCCTGGGAAGGCGCAGATGCAGGCCGCTCAGCTCTCGTCCCAGCCGCAGGTACTTGGTGGGCGCCTGTCCTGTTAGAAGCGGAAGAAAAGCCGAGGTGTGCGTTGCACGCCGCCCCGCCCTCCAGGTGGCTTGCTGTCCGCTTGGAACCAGTACGTCGCTCAGCGTTCTTTTGTCCGGCTCCATAACCAGCCGCAGTTACGTTGTGGAGACCAGCGAACAGCACAGGTTTACTTGCTGCTTGTGGTTTGGCGGCTGTGCAGAGGGCGTCGTGGCCGTTGTCCCGGCTGATGTGTCCAGTGATGCGGGGCGGGTGGCAGGTGCCCGCCCACCAGTGCGCAAGGGGGGCTGTGGGAGTGCGGGGCTGCTCTAGGCTGCATGGCTACGGCGAGCCACTGGGGACGCTTGTCCACGCCCGGCCGGCTGCTGGGCCCCCCACGGACGCCTCCCCCTTCTGGGCGCTGTGCGCTCTGCAAAGGCGTGAGGCCTCACTTCCCTGGGTTTGTAGCCTGTTGCCCCTCCTCCCCTACTGAGTGCTGGAAAAGTGTACAGGGAGCTGCTCGCCGTTCCTAAGGAGCAGTGAGTCCCCGAAAGTGAGTGTGAACCACCGGGAGCCCCGAGGCAGGTGGTGGTCTCAGAGAATTGTCTTGGCCTGTGTGATTGAGTCACCTGGGAAGGCTTCCCCTCTCTCTTGCCGTTTCCCTCATGAACAAGGGGCTTTCCTAGGGGGGCTTTCAGGTCAAGGGCTTTATGGCTATTTGAGAATGATGGCGAGCTTTGACCTTGTATGGTGATGGGGTAACCGCATACTTGTGCGCACCACCTGTGGAGCCGCGGGCACTGTGGGGAGACTTTATTGGCATCATTTTATTTTCTTTGCCCGGCAACCATAGGATGTAGAATCTTTATTATCCCCATTTTACCGTAAAAAGACCCGAGTGGCTTAAGTAACTTAGCAGGATCATGCAGCCCGTGGCTGGAGGAGCTGAGAACTGCATCCTGACGGATTCTGGATCCTTCTGTGCAGGTCTCCGTGGCCGCTCTGTGCGTACCCTGGGGACCCACCGCCGCTTTGGTTACATTTTTATGGAAACAGTCTCTCTGTTTCCAGTCCTTTGTCTCATTGAGCCGCACAGCTGACTTCAGGCAGCACCGGCGTTTTGCTGTGGTTCCTTTACTTGCCCTTGTTGTTGAAAGGATCAGCTCCTTACAAAACCCATGGAAACCTGTCCTTCCTAGATTGGGTAGGGCTGACAGACGTTTCCTGGGAAGGGCCACAGAGAGGGGACGTGAAAACACGTCAGGCCTGCGGGCCACGAGGTTTCCGCTGCCCTCACTGAGCTCTGCTGTGGATGGCGAGCAGCCCCAGAGCACAGAGGTGAGGGCTTTGGCCGGGTGCCACCGGAGCTTTCTCTCCAAGAGCGTGAGGCCGGCCGCGGTAGGAGGAGATCAGGTGAGGGGGAGGCAGAAATGGCACACTGCCTGGGTACAGAGAGTGTTTCTGTCGGTGTCTTCCCCGGATTCCAGGTTACAGACGTGCCTCTTACGTTGTGGGTAGCACCTTGCCTTCTGTGCTCTCTGCTCGCCCCCAGAATTCCTGTAGGAGCTCAGTTTTGTCCACAGTCAGGGTGGCAGGCGTTCCTCTGCCGTACACAGAGTTTTAACCTGGCAGACTGCCTGCCGTGAGAGGGGCACGTGGAACTGGTGTTCCCTTTTCAAAGAAAAAGTACAAGATGAACATTCGGTATTTTTCAGTTAAGAAGCAGCTTATGCAGTTACAAATTCTAAAAAGTAACTTAAACAGGAGAAACAGCTACAAAAAGCAAAAAACAGAAAAGGCTCCCGTGGGGTAAGACGGCATATGAAAGCCGGGTTTGTGACTGCTCCTCGTGCAGCTTTGTGGAGGGAAGGGACGCGTCACACTTGCGGGCATGGTCGGGCGGGTGTGCGGGCCCTGCGTGTGCGTTACTCCTTTGCTCCGCTGCGGGAGGGGCCCCCCTGTGCTCACCTCTGTGGGCGACACGGTCTTTGGCGTGTGGCTGCACGAGGGGGCCTGAGGGCTGCTGTTCACTGCCGGCCTGTTTTCTGCCTGCCAGACGGTGGCGTCAGCAAGAGCCCCTGTGGACCCTGCCCAGCCCTGTCAGCGGCCCCCGCCAGCGGCCTCTTCTACCTCGTCCGCAGCGCCTGCCGGCGGCTCGGGCCCGTCACCCGCACGGGTCTCCGCAGGGAATAGACCCTCCTCGGCAGCCAGCAAGTCACTGTCTCCGGTCACCTCCCGGTCCCCGGGGGCAGCCGTGTCAGCACCCCCAAAACCACAGAGCCCAGCTCAGAATGCCGCCCCGCCCCAAGACAGCTCTCAGGATAAGGTGGCAGAACAAATAGCACTGGTAAGCGCACTTAGAATGCCAAGAAGGTTGTCAAATGTGTTGTAGTTTGTGAAGCTTACTTGATTTCAATTTCTGCAAAGGATGCAGTAGTTTAAAACTGAGCACTCGATCGTGAGGACAGTCAGACATGGTTTCTGATCAGTTAAAAACCAGGGTTGCAGCCGGGAAGCCTCTCCCGTCCTGGTGGAAGTGGGCCTGTGGGGGGAACGTGCTTTCTGTGCTGACCTCAGGCGGCGCTGCGCGCAGGCTGCAGGGCAGCGCCGGGAGGACAGCTGAGGCTGGTGTGGCCGTGGCCCCGCAGCCCAGTTAGCACTTGCCGTTTGTGGGGTGACTAAGCAGTTGTTTAAATTTCATGGGGGGAGTTAAACATAGCAAGACTGGTACGGTGTTGCAACCCTAGTGTTCCCTGTTGTCCGGTGCTCACTCAGGGATATTGTGTGGCCAGTCTTACGTGACCTGTCCCTGCCCTTCCCAGTGGTTTTGGAGCAAGGGCCGGGCCTGTGTAGTTTCCCTTGTAAGTGCTCTGGTGTGGACAGTGGCCTGTGTGTTCTATCTGTGTTTTGGAGACGGGGTGTGGCCGTTGCTTCCCCTGCTTCTGGGGAGGGGGGCATGCCTGCTGACCTCTGTAGGGCCACTTTCAACCTTTGCGTCCAGGCCTGTCTTTGTTACTGAGGCTTCCCGAATTTGGGGTCTGGACTAGTGGAGTGCACTTACTAGTCACGTGGGACGCGCCCCATCCCTGTGCTCCTTGCAGGAAAACCAGATCCATCAGCGGATAGCGGATTTGAGGAAAGAAGGCCTGTGGTCCCTCAGGCGGTTGCCCAAACTGCAGGAGGCCCCGCGCCCCAAATCTCATTGGGACTATCTGCTGGAGGAGATGCAGTGGATGGCCACAGACTTTGCCCAGGAGAGGAGGTGGAAGATGGCCGCGGCCAGGAAGGTGGGTGAGGCACGCGTGGTGGCACTTCGGGGCAGGCGCTCGTGCACACTGCCGGACGTGGGAGTGTCCCGACCAACTCGGAGCGGTCTGGCTCCGAGACGCGGAGAGTGCTCTGGCGCTGTTCAGGAAGTCACCGTGTGGTGTGCTTTGCTGGTGAGGGGCTGTCTGCAGAGCCCCGGTGTGGACACTGGGGGCAGACACGTCATGCACTTCCGTTCTTCTTGCCAGTCTCTCCTGGCGGGTGGAAGGCCTGCAGCCCGCAGAGCCAGGCTGGTGCCGGTGGTGTTGTCATGAGGGAGCTGAGGCGGCTCAGGGTTTGGAGGGAGCAGAGAGGCTGGTTGGCTGGTGGGCAGCTCGGGGGCCCGTCCTGGGCCTTGAGGCTGCCCGCTGCTCTGGCCTGTCCAGCGCCCCCCGCGCTCTGTCTGAGGATTGGTCTCCTTCTCACTGGTCCCAAAGCAGACGCCCAGTCCTGGGGAGCCTCTAGCAGGTGGCACTGCCGCTACTAGGAATGCGGAAAGGGACGGCGTTCCAGAAACCTTAGGTCTCAGAGTACGAAGCAGCTGTCCTCACGTACGTGTAGACGGCCCTAGGCCCTGCCTCTCTCACGTCACTGCACCACCGTCTGTTCCTTGGGGCGGAGCTGCTCTCTTTTCATTTCCCGTGCTCTCAGGCCTGGGGAGCGGTCCCGTGTGCCCTGCTGTCCACCTCCCTCTCTGAACTCTGCTTTCCCTGTGTAGGCGGGGTCTGAAGTCAGATGCATGGAATCCAGAAAAACCCGATGGCTCCTTAGGCATGCTTTTTTCATAAAGGAGGATGGTCCTGAGCATGTGGGCACCAGGTGGACAGGGCTTGGCAGCGGGTGCTGCCCTCTCCTGGGAGAGACTGCAGACCCCGAGCAGGAGGCTTTGTGCCGGGGGTGTGGTTGGACCAGGATGAGGCCCCGAGGAGTCTGTGGGAGGAGGGCCAGCCACAGTGTCCAACAGGCCCCCCAGCGAGCTGCTCCGCTCGGCGTGGGGGCCCACAGCCAGGCATGCTCAGGCTCACAGCGTGTCTGTTTCCGAGTTCCTTCTCAGCCCCTTTTTGAGGACTGCTGGTAGGATGTAAGAGCACAGGTCCTGGAAAGCAGCTTGGGATTTAAAGGGAAAACCTTGGAAACGTTGAGTCGTCCCACCCGACAGTTTGCATGCGTAGCAGGTCAATGCATCCTGCTGCGTTCATACAGTGCAAGGGACGCTTGTCGAAAGAGTTACTCTGATGAAAAGGTGTTAATCGTATGTCAAATGAGGAGAGACGATTGTAACACAGTATGGTATATACTCTTTGGAGAAAAATAAGTGTATTTGGTAAAACAACCCTTTGTGGAAAGTCAAGCCGGGTGTTGGTGTTAGCTGTGGTTTTTGCTGGTGTGGGCGTGTCTCCTGCACCCGCCAAGCAGACGAAGGCGCATCCCCTGCGAATCTGTGCATTTGCGCCCGCCTGCCGCAGCACGGTGTCAAGTCCGTGACCTTTGATTGACTAGCTCATCAGGACTGTGGTGCGTCACCACGAGGAAAAGAAGCTTCGTGAGGAGAGGGGAAAGAAGGAGGAGCAGAACCGACTGAGACGAATTGCTGCCTCAACCGCCAGAGAAATAGAGTGTTTTTGGTCAAATATTGAACAGGTAAATCCTGGAATTTACACGGGGTCCTGAAAACCTAGACTGTGCCTTCTGCACATGCCTGACCGAGTGACGCCATAGCTCAGGCAGGTCGCGCCTGCGGCGGCACCGGGAGAGGTGCATGTGCCCGAGGTTCTTCTGTGCTCGTGTTTGCGCGCCGTGGCTGCGAGCTTCGTGCGGTTGGCGAGGGGCCTTCCAGTGTTTCCTTCAGTGTGAGCGCTAGTCACGGAAGGCAGCTGGTTTCCAGCATGGCTGTTGTGCCGCGCGCGTCCTGGTACAGAGCACGCTCAGCCCCTCCCCCCCCCAGCCCCCGTGGGACTCGGGCGGCACGTAGCCGCACAACACCTGACTACGTGCCAAACTGAGAGTTTCATCTGAAGTGACTTGAGGTGACGTTGTCCGTAACTTCCATCCTCGTTGACGTTTTTATTCTACTCTTCATACTCAGGTTGTGGAGATAAAACTACAAGTAGAACTGGAAGAAAAAAGGAAAAAGGCCTTAACTTTACAGAAGGTTCCCAGGAGAGGTAGGATATGTTTTAAAAGCCTTCACGTTTCCGACGGCTCTTTGGCCTCCCTGCTCGCCCGCAGCTAGCCACGGAGGTGGTGCCGGGGCGCTTGCTCGCCGGACCGGGCTTGCGCTCTGCCTGACGTCACACTCCCCCGCGCAGCTGCTCAAGCTGTGAACCTCAGCTCTCTTGAGGTTTGCTGGCACGAGTTGGCACCCCCAGGCTCTCTGACGGGCCCTGGGGCCGTCTCGGGATTGAGGCTCCTGTCCCCTGTGGCCAGTGCCGGACACTGAGATGAACTCCCACAGGCGTCTGCCCCTTGTGGGGCACTTCTGTGGTCGGTGCACAGCCTCTGCAGCACCTCCCCATCATTGGACACCGTGATGCGTGCCGGGCACCGGCGGAAGCGGCTGTCACGGGGCGGGGGGCATGGTGTGTCTTGGTCTGTTGGTGAGGAAGTGGAGGCGGAGCGGTGGGCTCTGCCCAGACTCGTACAACCATAAGATTGCAGAGAGCATAGAAGACGCACGTTGCCATTTAGCTCCCCGGCCCCTCTCCAGATCAGATGTGTGGAGAGCTGCCAGAGAACTATGTAGGCACAGGGCTGGGGGCTGGTGTGTTGCCGCCCCGGTTCCCAGAAGGAAGGAGGCGGAGCTCACGCTTGCTGTCTTCCTCCCGTGAGGAGGTGCCAGTGGGGCGCGGCCTACACAGGAGCTCCAGTGAAACTGAATCATGTTCCTTGTTTCTAGGAAAAGAGTCGAGGCCTAAGGGGCTTGATGCGTTGCCAGAAGCTTTCCTGGTAAGTTGAGGACTGCTGCTGTACTAGGTGAGAGAGGGAAACCGTGAAGAAGACACAGTGTCTGATAAAGCAGAGTCCCTTTTTTTTCCCTGGAAAAACGTGTATGTCGTCCGTGGTATTCCCCTCTGTTACAGAGTCGGTTTACTCTGGGGAAGAAGCTTGGTTCTTAGTGTGAGGCTCCCATAGGGTATTGATCTGGGGACAAGGGAAGACACGGTGACGGGATTTAGTCCCGCCTGCCCGCTGCCCAGAGGCCGGCGTGGTTGGCCCCGGGCTCGCCACTGCCTTCCCGGGAGCATGTGAAGTAGACGTTTCTGCTTTGGTTTCCCGTTCTGTGTTTGCGAGTTTTGTTCTCTGTTTCAGGAGTCGGGGTTGTCTGGAAGGAAGAGGAAAGCTAGCACGTCTCTGACTGATGATGAAGGTCTGTGTCCTGGTCCTCTCCTGCCGTCTGCAGGCCCAGGGCTTGCTCCATGCTGTCAGGGTGCCTAGTGGCCCAGTGACTTGTGTCGTCGGGGGCCAGGCGCCCTGGGGGTTGGGAGGGGGTCTGCAGAAACGAGCCAGACTGTGGAGGAGGGACAGCACAGGGCCGCTTGTGGACATTTTGTTTGCGTGGCGGAGTCAGCAGGGAAGGCTGGGGGCAGGCAGGAGAAAAGGCGTAGTCTGGTGGCAGGGACCCCCGGGGCCAGGGGCTTGTGCTCAGATGGGGCCGGGCCGTAGCTGGGCTGGCTCTGCCGTAGGTCCTGGTGGGTTCTTCTCACCCAGAGCCACGTCTCTGCTGGAGGTGAGGTACGGGGGGTGGGGTCAACCTAGTTTGAGGTGGTGGTCGCCCAGGACGGGAGCCAAGCTGAGGGAACGGCATGCCGGGCAGGTGGCTGGGGCCCCCAACGTGGGCGATGACAAAGTCCCCATGACCCCGGACAGCCTGCTCCTGGGTTTTTCTGCTGTGGGGTCAGCAGGTGGATGAGAAGTTTGACATCACTCCGTGTTCTGTTGGAGTAGGTCCGTCGTGTAAGGAGGAACCAGGCTGTGTTTTACACCCTGCTCAGTTAGCTCACCCGCACTTCCAAACCTAACCGGAGAAACAGAAAGGCCTCGTTGAGTCCCCTCATAGCCATGCGAGACGGTGTTGGAGCCTGGTAGTGTTTCATGAGCAGTTGGGAAGGCGCGGTGAGGTCTGTGTCCCTGACGTCTGCTCGTGACCGTTTCAGTGGAAGACGAGGAGGAGACCATAGAGGAGGAAGAAGCTAACGAGGGGGCCGTGGACCACCAGGCAGAGCTGTCCAACTTAGCCAAAGAAGGTAGGCTACGAGTGTCTCACTGGAGATGCACTTAGGAAACGTGGAGTGTGCACACAAGAACGTGTGACATCTAAAGACCCGATAGATACCTCGAGCGCTGGCGTCAGGGCCAACTGGCAGTGTGGGACAGAGTGCGTGAGCGCCGCGTGCTAGCCGGTGACCTGCCCTGGTGGCTCATCGTTTCCGCTCTGGCTGCCCTGCCACTTAGCACGGCCCGGAGCGCCGCCGGGCTCGCCCCGGGGCACGGCATCTAAACGGCACCGCACCCTGGCCTTACCGCTCCTTCCCTCGGCTCTCCTGGCCCCGAGCTTCGCCCGGCGGTTGTCGCTGCGCGTCCGCTAGCCCTCCCTGCTGAGCTGCGTTCCAGATGTGAGCGTGTCACAGACTCGGGTCTTGGGCTGCTGCTGGGCTTTCGGGTTGTCCCCCGTTGCGCCCTCAGTGTGGCAGGAGCGTTCCTGTGGCCAGTGCCCTCGACGCGTGCGTGTGCCAGAGCGGAGGGCTGGGTCGGCACACACGCGGTCCGCTGGGCGAGGCTGGCCAGGCTGCAGGGCTCGCTCCAACCCCCATACGTTGGGGCGCTATGCCCACCCGGTGAGGGGACACGGCATCTCCGCATGCCTGCGGGTGGTGCTTCTCTGAGAACTGATGAGGTGTGCCGTCTTGTCATGGGTTCCTCTCTTCCCTTATGGTCTTTCTTCCCCACGTCAGCTTGCAGGCATGCGTTGTGTGTCCCACACGTGGCTTCTTTGTGGTCACATGCATCACAGTGGCCCCCTCATGGCGCGTGCATGTGTTTCCATTCTCTTTATGGGGCCTTCTGGGGAACGGGCGTTCTTAATTTTAGCATAGTTGGATTTATCAGTCTTGTTTTAAAAAATCCCTTTTTACCTCAAGATCATGAGGCAGTTTTCCTGTTTGTCCACAGATTTTTTATTTTACTCACATATCGCTGTATCTGATCCATCAAGAATAGCTTTTGTCTCTTGTGCGGAACAAGAGTGCAATTTCTTTCTTTTTTTTTTTCTTTCTCCAAAACGGATCCCAGTCGTCCTGGCACCATTTGAAAGGCCGGTCTTTGCCCCTGCTGGTCCCGGCCAGCTCAGATGGCAGGCAAGTTTCCGGAGCGCAGGCTCTTTCCCGAGCTCTGTGGTGCAGCCGGTCTACCCGCGTGTCCTCGGGCTCCGTGGTCGTTCCTGAGAGCTGGCTAGGGGGTCCTCCCACCTTAGTCTTCTCAGGACGGCCCGGTCCGCCTCAGGATCTGCTCATCCAGTTTCAGATAGGCGTCTGTGAGGACCGGTGGCCTGGAGTCAGAGGGTGATAGCCGACACTTGCATCTTGACAAAGCTGCGCTTTGCTGGTCCCTGAGCACAGTGTACCTGTCCGTCCGTTCACGCAGGTCGCCTTCGGGAGCCTCCAGGGACATTTTATGATTGCGTATTTTTTTGTGAGATTAATTTCTAGGTGTCTTGTCTGTTTCAAAGTTGTAGTAAGTGGTGTGTTTGCTAAGTTTGGGAGTGCAGCTCCTGTGGAGCTCACCACCCGCCCCCCCGCCCCGTGGGCGTGGCCTCTTGGCCTACGGAGAGCCGCTCTTGGCCTGCGGAGAGCCGCTCTGCCTGTCTAACCGGGGCCCTGTTGCTGCCCTCCTTGCAGGGAGGGACGGATTTAGACATCCTGCTGCGGGGCGCCCCGCATGTTTGTGCTCTGGAAGGGAGCACCTCCTCCTGCGGCGCTGCTCCCTCCACGGCTCCGGCACTCCTCGGGGCCTCCTTGGGGCCCCGTTTGTGTTCTTGCTGCTGCCACTTTCCAAGGACAGTGTGGGCCTCCGGCGGGTCGGAGTCCGTGCCAGCATCTCTGCCGCTTTCCGTAGGGGGAAACGGGGGAGCCCGGCTGGGGGTCTGCTAGGGCAAGCTCTTTCTGCAGAAGGGATCACAACCTTTTTATGTGCTTTTTACAGCATTTTTCTGCTTTATTTTTGTTTGACTTTTATTTGATGTTTCCTATTTTTCATATTACCAATTATTTCCCATTGTTGGTGTTTTTATCGTTATATTTATGAGGTTATAGCTTTTACTTTTCATTTATGAGATTATTTTAGAAATCTTAAAAATTCTTTTATGAGTAAAAATTGAGTTTTTTCATGTCATGTCCAAGATTCTCATATTTATAAAGAAAGTGCCTTAGACCCAGGTATCAGTAACGGGCAATAGTTACTTTTGGAAAAAACTAACTGCAGGAGGGCTGCAGCTTTGTTTTCTTCCCAGCTGGTTGCCACTCCTGGTGTGAGCTAACCCCCTTTCTTCCCACGATCCTTTTCAGCTGAATTGCCCCTAATCGATTTGATGAAGTTGTACGAAGGAGCTTTTCTGCCCAGTTTCCAGTGGCCGCAACCTAAGCCTGACAGTGAGGAGGCGAGTGAAGAAGAAGGTCTGTGTTGACATCTTTCAAGAATTCAGCCATAAAGCAAGAGCCAAAATATGCAGTGGAAGGGTGCTTACAACAGGGTTTAAGTCACCTTCGTTTGCTTTTAGTCTGAAGGAAGAAAAATACGTGAGCGATTATGTGGGGGCACCTGGGTGACTCAGTAGGTTGAGCGTCTGATGACTCTTGATCTCAGCTCAGGTCTTGATCTCAGGGTTGTGAGATGGAGCCCACCTTGGGCTCCATGCTTAGCGTGGACCCTACTTAAAAAAACAAAAAGTAAATAAAATGAAATGAAAACATATAAGTATGTTTAACGTGTAATTTTGTATTGCTAGGGTTTGGTTAAATTCTGTGCTTTTTATTTTCATTTATTAATTTGGCACAATTATAAGAGGACTTGTAAACGATGTAGAAATATTCTCCACATTTATAAAAGTCATTGTTTTTTAGACTTAGATTTTTATCATGTATATTCAGGGTAGGCTATATTTAATGTGCTAGTTTTGAGGAGTTTATTTTACTTTGATTAGATGGTCTAAACACACACCAAAAAAAGTCTATTTTTCCTTGTTTTCATTCCGCTTGTTCTGATCATTAGACACAGATTCCTGTGAGCAGAGAAGCTAGGGGCTGGCAGGGCCAGAGGATGGGCTGGTGGCCTCCTTGCTTGCTGATCCTTAGAGACGCTTGTGACTTTCCCCTTTCCTTGTGGTGGAGGGGTGGTCACTAAGCCCTTAGATGCCCATACGTCTATGGGTGATACCAGCTCCTGGTTTGCTACAGATTCTCCATCTTCACCTGAGGGCTTTCCAGAGTGCTCCTATGTGTGATAGTTTCATGGGAGTTTATACCCATTGATCTGGAGAGTATTCTTAGGTATATAAAGTGGATTAAAAACAAAACAACAAAAATACTCCATTTGAAATATTTGGACTCTGTCAACTTTTCCCCTTTTATTTCTTTTCATAAATGATAAGTAGGCTCATAAAACTGTTGCAGCCACTGCAGATCTGTTTTTTTTTTTTGTTCACAGATGTGGAAGACGCCCCGGGTGATCGAGAGAGCCGGAAGGACGTGGTTCTCATAGACTCGCTGTTCATCATGGACCAGTTCAAAGCTGCAGAGAGAATGACTATTGGGAACCCTCATACAAAGGACATCGCGGAGGTGACCGCTGTGGCCGAAGCTGTCCTGCCCAAGGGCAGTGCCCGGGTCAGCCCCACGGTGAGGCACCGAGCTGCCACGTGGGGGGCGGTGTCTTGGTGAGGCCAAGAAAAGGCTTGCTACTTCCCCATAGCTCTGTCCCAGCTGCAGAAGTTGTCAGGAAAAGTGAATACTGGCCTTGCTGCTTCTTTCACCTCTAGATCTTTTCTGTGGTGCTCTAGTAGGCTCGCCATTTGACTGATTTGACTTCACGTTGCAGAAAAATTTCGGATGATGATTTTGAGAAGTGCGTATTTGGCCCGTGTGTTGCTGCAGGTGAAATTGAATGCCCCATCTCTGTTGTACGGTGCGCTCAGAGATTACCAGAAGATTGGCCTGGACTGGCTGGCCAAACTCTACCGGAAGAACCTCAACGGCATATTGGCAGATGAAGCTGGGCTTGGTAAAACAGTACAGATCATTGCTTTTTTTGCCCACCTAGCTTGCAATGAAGGTAAGAGCTTGTGTTTTTGAAGAGTTTGTACTTGCTAAGACTGCCTGCAGGCAGTGCATCTGGCATGAGGGTGGAGAGTGGCCTTTGTTTTTGCTCCTTTGCCCTGTGCTCTGGTGCAAGACCCAAGAGAACAGAGCTCAGGAATATTCATTGCATGAACAAGTGAAAAACTTGTTGGCAGTTAACACTAGATCGAGCAACTCACCGTTACTCAAAATCTAACACACTGTGAGGCCCACCAGGCTGTGACCGGGCTGTGTGACTCCAGTGTCCCCTGCCAGCCAACACCTGTGTGCCGAGCAGCTCTGGCCACGTGTCAGCCTTCCCTGTGCAGCAGTGGTGTCCATCCCTTGCCTCCCGGCCGGGCTCCACCACCTGCAGCACTTTTGCCCCACTGCTGGGGTTCCTTAGGGGGTGCTGTCTGGGCCTTGCTCGGGCTCAGCAGCTGGACCGCAGCAGACGCAGAGTGCCTGCCTCCCCTGCAACGGGCTGTCCACCCCTGGACTCTTTGAACTCACATGGCATGGGTCCAGGCCCCGTGGCCTCTGTGTTGGCATGTTCAGGGATCTGCCCCCGCGCTCGCCCTCCTCTCAGTCTGTGGGCCAGGTGCCTGCCTTGTCCCCTGCTCTGTGCCTTTGAGGCCTGTAGAAGGGCATGTGCCTGTGTCTCTCACACAGGACAGGGTCTTATATGCAGGTGACCCTTGAACAACGTGGTGGTCACGGACACTGACCTCCCACACAAATAACAATCCACGTATACCTTTTGCCTTGCCCATAACCTGACTACTGATAGTTAACTGTTGACCAGAAGCTGTCCTGATAACACCAACAGGTGACTAATATGTGTTTTGTAGGTTCTATGTATTATGTAGTGTGTTCTTACAATAAAGTCAGGGAAAAGAAAACGTCGTTAGGAATGTGACAAGGAAGAGAACATACAGTACTGTACGTATTGAAAAAAACCTGTGTGGGCTTACGTTGACCCGTGTGGTTCATACTCATGTTGTTCATGGGTCAGCTGTGGTGTTTCTCTTGCAGAGGGAGTGTTCCAGATGCAGATTGAGTGGGCTCCTGGACAGCCCACCAGAAGAGCCAACACATCTCTTCCCCTTGTGGAGTTTCACATGCCGGGAGGGGACTCTTTAAATTAGGGAGGTGGCATCCTGCCACAGGTCTCATGGAAACCGCTGACATTCAGCAGACCTCTGAGATGGGGTGTGCAGAGGGTGATGACCACCCCCCCACCCCGACTCGGGGAAGCTTCTTCCTCCCTCTCCCCGGGCTTGCTGCGCCTTTCCCTCACCATCGCGAGCTAGCAGTGCCTCCTTTTGCCCTCTGTGTGAAAGTCTTCATCAATCTCAGTCAGTTTTTTATTTTCTTTTACTTTTTATTTATTTATTTTTAAAGATTTTATTTATTTGAGTGAGAGAGAGCATGAGTGGGCAGGCAGAGGGAGAAGCAGACTCTCCGCGGAGCAGGGAGCCCGATGCGGGTCTCGATCCCAGGACCCTGAACCACCCAGGCACCTCCTCAGTTTTTTGTTTTTGTTTTTTTTAAAGATTTTATTTATTTATTTGAGAGAGAGAGAGAATGAGAGATAGCACGAGAGGGAAGAGGGTCAGAGGGAGAAGCAGACTCCCTGCCGAGCAGGGAGCCCGATGCGGGACTCGATCCCGGCACTCCAGGATCATGGCCTGAGCCGAAGGCAGTCGCTTAACCGACTGAGCCACCCAGGCGCCCTCCTCAGTTTTTAAATACAAATGGATTGACACCATGGCTCCTTATTTTCTTGCATTAATTTGTTTCTGTTTTCTGACCTAGTGTCATGAAATTTTCAGAGTAGCACTTTAAAATCTGTTTTAATAGATACAGTTACTTTAAACTACCACCTTGCCTTACTGTCTTATTGTTTAGGTGAAAAAATTGTCCATTACTCTATTCAGAATAGTAAGAAATTGGAGGTAGCCTACATTTCCAAAAACAGGGGCTCTTAGTTCATCAGTTGAACAAATGTGAATGAATGAGTCCCTCAAAGTCTGGGTACCTGTCTGGTGCCCGTGCTGCTCCAGGCACCGGTCTGGGCATGAGGGTGAGGCTGTGAACAGAGCAGAGCCCTTCCCTCAGGAGGCCCACACTGGGTCCCGACAGTGTCAGGAATAAGGGGCCTTGCAGAAAACCAAACGTGGAACAATGTTCTAAATGCTGGTTTTTAAAAAATCGTGGTTCTCCTTGGTGGAGGAAAGGGCATCTGGGATTGATTTGCGTCTCTCTTCTCGTGGTGTGCGCCTGCTAAAGAGTTTCTGCCCTCTTACATCTGTCTATGTCTTTGTCCACTTCCCTCTTGGGCGGTTCTTCCGTCAGCCCGGGAGGCCGTGCTCTGCGCATGAGCGGTACTGGCCACGGCCGCGTGTCCTGCATGTAGCCTTTCCAAGTCTGCCGTCTTTGTCTCTCAACGCGGTGTGTGTCTCATTTACAGCGCTGAAGTGGAGATTTGTCTTGGGTATATTCTAATAATTTGAAGCATTATTTTTTGGAATACTGAAGTTGAAATTGTCCATTTTGGGGTGGTTTGGGTGTGTTCTGACTGGAGGCTGAGCCAACGTGCCTCACTTGGCGGCTGCCAAGGAGGGCTCCAGGCAGGGTCCGAACGCCCAGTCAGCATGCTTCCTTCGCTTTCTGGGCACTGTTCTCATAGATGCGCATTCTTCCCTGTGCTCACTGTGGGATTCACTGTGCTTTTGAATAAATACTTTCTTCAGCCCCCTCTCAGCAGCTCTCTGTTGAGCACCTGCTGTGTGTCAGGCCCCCCCGCCCCTCGGCCGCAGGTCTGGGGGTTGCGTGGTATGGAGGAGGACGCCTCCGCATCATGCCCGGGGCCTTCCCCCGTGTACCTGCCACACGTCTCTGCTCAGCACAGCGCCAGTTGTCCGGACTTGTCAGATGGTTTTGGTTCAAGAGGAAAATCCTGTCTCTTCTCTCCTTTGTAGGTAACTGGGGCCCTCACCTCGTGGTCGTGAGAGGCTGTAACATCCTCAAATGGGAGCTCGAGCTGAAGCGCTGGTGCCCTGGGCTCAAAACCCTCTTATATGTTGGCAGCCACAGAGAACTGAAAGCAAAGAGACAGGTATTTTATTTTAAACATGAGGTGAAATTGGACAGGAATGATCTTCTCTGTATAGAAGACAGATTTCAGAATGTCGAGATGTGTTTGTGTACTTGTTGTAAACCCCTGATTTGTGAGACACTAGACCTTCAAGGCGTTCCTAGGTTTGGAGCCCCTTGAAAGCACAGCCTGCCCCTGCGAGGAGAGCCCCGTGCACGCTGCTCCTCCCACGCCCGGCCATGGCTGCTTTCCTTCCAGAGCCATCCCTCCCACCTGCAGGCCCAGTGAGCGCCACAGGCGTGAGCGGGAACTTGGGGTGTGCTCCGAGTTCTGAGCTGGGGTCTCGTGAGGTGCCTCCCACGGGAACACCCCGGTGTAGGGCTACAGGTGACGCGCAGGCCGGCCATGGGAGCAGAGCTGCCCGGGGTTTCTTCTTCCTGCCCTGTTCTGTCTAGCATCAGATTCTGAGTGAAAAGTGTACCAGAGGCCACAGTTTTTCGTTGAAGATAAACATTTGCCTCATTGTTAGAGTATTGTGTTGAGTGGTATTTACTGGAGAAGTGAGTACCTTGGGATGTAGTTTCTGTTTCCCTGTTTCTCAAAAGCTTACAAAGCAGTCTGTTGCAGCATGGATGCTCCCGCTTGCCGTCCCCTTCTCAGTAGTTTCCTTACTCGGGTTGCATCCCATGAAAGCTGGTTCCCCTTCATGACGCTCTCTGGTGACCTGTTTTCCAGAAACCGTAGTTCATGCCTCAGAGCAGCTTCTCGGTTTGTCTTCACGAGCACTGTAGACTCCCACAGGACAAGGTCCTGAAAACACAAGCTCTGCTGTCTGACGTGCGGCAGGGAGCAGGCCGTGGCGGGCGGCGCGGTCAGGGGCTGGTCAGGGTAAGCGGCGGCGGGCTGTGCGTCCGGAGGGCGTGCTGCCGCAGGTGAAGCCTGTTCTATGTGCTGCAGGAGTGGACGGAGCCCAACAGCTTCAACGTGTGCATCGCGCCCTACAAGCAGTTCTTCAGGGGCTACGCGGCCTTCACGCGCGTGCGGTGGCGGTGCCTGGTCATCGACGAGATGCAGCGCGTCCGCGGCATGACCGAGAGGCACTGGGAGGCCGTGTTCACCCTGAGGAGGTCTGACCTGCGTGCCCTGCTCAGGGTCCTGGGTGTGGCTGGCGGAGGGGTGCGTGTGGTCACGGGCACACCGAGCTGCTGCTCAGCTACCCAGTTCCCTTCCCCTCGCTCAGTGCGTGGGGGTCTCAGGTCCCTTCCTGGAGGCCCTGTGAGCTTGTCGTTCCTGTCCTTGAATGTCTGCACGGGAAGCGCGCCTGTGGCCAGCTTCCCGGGGTGCCATGGGCGCTGTCGCCTCTCACTCTCCCACAGCCAGCAGCGCCTGCTCCTGATTGACGCGCCCCTGCACAACACCTTCCTGGAGCTCTGGACCATGGTGCACTTCCTCATCCCTGGCATCTCCAGGCCCTACCTGCACCTGCCCCTGAAGGCCCCGAACGACGAGAACCAGGACTACTACCACAAAGTGGTCATCCGGCTGCACCGGGTATGTGCGGGCGGCAGCTGCAGTGCCGTGCCCTGCCGTGGGCTGGGTGTGGTGACGTCATCTTGGAAAGGGGACGACGCACACTGGTGTTCTTCTCAGGTGACACAGCCCTTTATCTTGAGGAGGACTAAGAGAGACGTGGAGAAGCAGCTGACGAAGAAGTACGAGCACGTGCTGAAATGCCGCCTGTCGAGTCGGCAGAAGGCCTTGTACGAGGACGTGATCTTGCAGCCCGGGTAAGCTGGCTTCGCACCTGCGGGTCCTGCCCAGCTGGGGGCGCTGGGCCTCTGCCCTCGCCTGGCCGTCTGTGGGGACGGTGTCTGGAACCTGCGCTCGCCCGGGCTCCGTGTACCTGCCCAGCTGACCCAGCACCGGCCTGGCTCCCGGCCTGCTCCCTGAATTCACGGGCGAGCCTCGTGGTGTTTCAGTCGAGGTTCACGCAGGCCGCATGTGCCGCTTGAGCGGCTGGGTCTCTCCTCCCGGGGTAGCTGCCCTGAGGCTGCACGTGCTGGTCTTGCTGCGCCCCCTGGGCGCCGTCCCCTCGTGGGCATCGCATCATCACACTCACAACGTCGGGACAGTGTGCGTGTGCAGAGCCTTTAGGACACGGTTTTGCCATTCACGTTGGTTTTTTTGGGTTAGGTTTGGAGAATTTTAGGACAGAACGTAAGTGTGCATTCTTACTCCCTGGTACGCTTTCTCGGTCCCTGAGAAATGGCATCAGTGGCGCTGCGGTGGCTGAGTGTTTTCCGTGGACAGTAGGATCCGCGGAGCCCTCCGCGCCGGGCGGGCTGGCGGGCAGCTCCCCGTCCAGGTGCTGGCTGGAGGTTAGGAAGGGCTGGGTCGGTGGAGGGCGCTGCTCTCCTGCGGAAGGAGCCCCGTGCTCGTCTGTCGGGCTTCCCTCACGTTCCTTCGCCAGGAGCAGACCACGTTCGCAGGATCTCCGGGCCATCGCTCTTCAGGGCTGGGCCATGGGCATGCTGGGCTTGCCTTGGGAGCGGGCGGGTGCCGACGTCAGTCCTGCCTGTGGATGTGGGATGCTGGTGACCGCAAACCTAGACTGTCGTGTGGCTTCTGCTCCCGATGGAGCAGTAGGAAGTGACTGTCCCCCTTCGTGTCTCTGGGCCTCTTTTCCCCTGAATCGGTCAAGTCAAATGGGAAGTGTTGAGCTCATCTCTCCCTGAACTCACATTAGCTCCCGACGACAGGTATCCTCGCTGCATGTTGATGTGATGGTCTGGCTTCTTCGAGGGGGTTCTGAGCTTCACTTTGGTCACTCTGTGGTGGCCATGTCTTATGTTCCTGCCATCGTGAGGTGCACCCTCTTCTCGGCAGACCTCGTCTCCCCCTCCCTCCTGGGGGCCCCGCAGACCTGCTGTGTGTGAGCCCCTTCCCCTCCAGGGGCTTCTCTTGGGGTCCTGGGTCTCACTTGTGCTTTAGCCTTTTGTTCGGAAGCGTGTCCTTGTACAGACAGGTGTGACTTTAGATACCTTCCCCCCCTCCTGCTCTCCAGAGCCGAGCTTGCGGCCTCTGTGCGCGTCTCCGCCCTGCTTAGCCCCTGTGCTGTGGCCGAGAACTGCCTTTGTGGGCTTCTGCTGGCTTTTGGCACAGCCTGCCTACCGCCGCACTCCCGAGTGGCCCACGCTCTCCCATGGCTGCTTGGGCTGTCCCTGGAGCATTGTAGACCTGCTCTCACCAGGGCGTCCCCAGAGCCCTTGCTCTCTAGGCTGTCCTGTCCTCTAGCACAGTAGCCCGTCGCCCTGCTGCTCACTTGGAAGGCTGGCCGTTCTCTTTGCCACCGCCTGTCCCTCCGTCCCACTGCCTCTGCCCCCGGTCTCTGTGGATCAGCCTGCCTCCTGTCCTGTCCTGCATGGCTCCTTCCCTAACCTGCTGGGGACACTGTGCCCTCCTCCTCACTTGGAGACCCTGGAGGTCTCTGCTTAGACTGTGTTTCCTGCGTGGTCCTGGTCCGCATGCGGTTAGCCTGTGTGTCTGCCTTCTTCGTGGCTGCAGGGCCGGGGCTGGCGTCCCACCTGAGGGGCCTTTCCTTCCCTCGGGTCAGGTGCTCTTGCCTGGTGCCCTCCCCTGCTCCACGGCACTCAGCACCGTGGGGCGGAAATCCGTCACTGCTGCCCACGTCGAGTGTCGTCCTCCACTGGGAGGGGAGGCTCAGAGGGAGAGCTGCGTGCCCATCTGACCCCCACTGCTGGCTCCCTGGCCCCCCAGCCTGTTCCGGGGGGACAGTGAGTTGAGTCGGAGAGTCAGAGCCACCTGGAAGGCGGTTGGGACGTGAGCATTGTGAGGGAACTCGTTACTAAAGCAGAACTGGGGAGAGCAAGGCAGTTGTGTGCTCTGGACTCAGCAGCGCACACGGTACGCACGCCGATGGTAGTGCTGGTGTTTTTTCCTGAGAGCAGAACCCAGGAGGCGCTGAAGAGCGGGCACTTTGTGGACGTGCTGAGCATCCTGCTGCGGCTGCAGAGGATCTGCAACCACCCTGGGCTGGTGGAGCCCCGGCTCCCGGAGTCATCCTACACGGCAGGGCCACTGCAGTACCGCTCTGCCTCCCTCATCCTCAAGGCGCTCGACAGAGACTCCTGGAAGGTACGTGTCTCCCCGACGTCGGTTCCACGCAAGTTGCAGCTACCGTGGTTCCGGGAGGTTGCTTCCCACGTGCTCATCCTGCGTTTTGGAATCGCCTGGTGCTGGGCAGCCTTCAGCTGACACGGGGTCTGCATCTGCAGTTGGCCCGAGGGGGACAAGCCACGGCTCGGAAGTAGCAGGGGAGGGGTTCCTAGTAGCGCATGTGCTGTCGGAGCATGGGAAACGGCATGGCGTGCGGGGTGTTTGGAGGGGAGCTTGGTCCCCACCACGGTGAGGCCTGTTGAGGACACGTGGGTGTCTCAGTGAGCGCCGTCATGGGCCACTCTCATGTCTTCGGTGAGGTCCTCTTCCTGAATTGTGCGTGTTTGCGGGGCCCTGATACATGCTCTGGGCCCAGAGCCCTCGTGTCCCCTGGCCCCCGCACTGGCTGGGGGGCTTTGGGCTGAGTGCCCTCAGGACAGGGATAATCGTGCGCTTCCATGGCCGTTGTGTGTGTCGAATCCATGGGAAGAACCTTATGTGTGCCTGGCTTCCGAGAACTCGGTGTGTGTTATGTTGTGGTGTTTATTCTCATTTGTTCGGCAAGTCTTGAGGTGTGTTGGGTGTCCAGTAGTTTTCCAGCCGCTAGGACAGCAGTGGGTAAGACAGCTGAAACTGCCTGCATTCATCACCGCTGATTCCGGAATATTCTGTCGTTGCCAAGAGAGAACCCACAGACGTGAGCCATCCCTCCCGTTCCCCCTCCCCGCCCCAGGCAGCCCCGTACCTGACCTGCCTCGTGAGTCCACCTGTTCTGGACTTTGTGTACGGATGGAATCCCTCCCACGTGGTCCTTGTGTCTGGCTTACTTCGTGGAGCGTAGTGTTTTCAGAGTCCATCTGGGTTGTGGCGTGTGTCCCTCCTTTCTAAGGCTGACTCGTGTTCTCTGGTGCGGAAGGATCACGTTGATCTGGTCATCAGTTAATGGACTTGGGTTGTTTCCACATTTTGGCCATCGTGAGGAGTGTCACTGCAGACGTTGATGGACTAGCTTTGTGTGGACATAGGTTCCATGTTTCTCGTGCACATATCTAGATGTGGAATCGTAGGGTCATGTGCCTACTCCATGTTTAACTTTCTGAAGATCGGTCGGGCGGTTTTCACACCCCCACACGTGTACAAGGACACAGGAGGGCTTGTCAGCACCTGCCGTCGTCCCCTTTGATGCTCAACGTCGCGGCGGGAGTGCCACTGCACTTTCTCGTTAGAGAAGCACATGTGGGGCTGCTGAGCATGCGGGGCGTCTGCCCCAGCTGGGGATTCAGGCAGTGTGTCCTGCCCATTGGAATGCATGTCCCCACGGCTCTGGACCGAGTGACATGTCGCGTGCCCACCTCTGCTTCCCTGTTACGCATGGGTCTCTCCCCCAAGGCGCACCTTGTCGACGTGGCCTGGCTCTCGCGCTCTCCGGAACCCCCTCCCTGTCTGCCGAGTCCAGTCTCTCTCCAAGCATTGCCTTCTCCATTCCCACTGCCACATGGGGTGCTCCTAACGATGGGGACACTGAGGCATGCTGTGGTCCAGCAGCCTGCCTGAGCCCTGGAATGGCGTCGGGGCGCATCCCAGGGGGCAAGGCTGTGCAGGCCTGGCCGTCCTATCAGGAATGTGCTTGGGTTCCCATTTTCCTCCAGTCTCCCAGAGCAAAACTTTGCTGTTTTTCTCCTTAGGAAACAGATCTCTCTATATTTGATCTTATCGGCTTAGAGAATAAAATGACTCGCCACGAAGCAGAATTGCTGTGTAAGAAGAAGGTGACACGGAAACTCATGGACGAGCTGTTCACTGCGCCACCCCCGTCGGGCAGGCCGGCGGCCCTGAGACTGAAGCCCAGCAGGTGCGTGGCCTGGAGCGTTGCCTCCTGCTCACCAGAGTCCCCAGCTGGGTTCTGGCTGGCCCTGAATCAGCCGTGGGGTCGGTGATGTTCCCCTCCCTGGAAGGACCCAGCCCCACAGCCCCTCACGGACACCTGGGATGTGTGGCGGGAGCTCACATGAGGACCCGGCTGTGGCTGGGGGGAAGAAACGGCCATCCTCTCACTGGGTTGTCTGCTTCTGGAATCTCTGCTGGTGTCCCTAGTGTCTGTGGGGCAGCTCATTGCTTGTGGCCTGTGTGGGCAGTCTGCACCCCGGGTGGGACGGTGTGGCTTCTTGCCCTCCTAAGGGACAGCCTGGCGGTGCTGGTGAAGCAGCCCCGGGATGCGGGAGGTGTGGGAGGGGTCTGTGTGGGGAGGAGGTCCGGCTGCTCTGCCCAGTGTATGCTCTGGTGGCCGCTGTCTCGGGGCAAGGGTGCACTCTGGGTGGTGGGCAGAGGGCTCCACCCCTGACAGCAGCATGGGGACTTCTGAAGGACGCCAGAGTTTGTAGGTGCCATCTGGCTGGGAGGGGCAGAACGCGTGAAATGATGAAGTGGAAATAAATGACTTAGTAAGATAGGTTAAATCCAGCAAGTTGGAAATACAGAACATCTCAGGGTTGGGTTGAAAATGAGAAAGAAACAAAAGTTTAGAGAGAAGGAGCCAGCTGTGCAGATTGGTGCCCATTGCCATTGCCTGTTGTGCACGTGCCCTCCCCACCGCCGTCCGCCTGACACTCGCGGGGCCTGCAGTGCTCCGTTAGATCCGCACGTGCGCCGGTGGGGCTGCGGCTCTCTCGGGCCGGCCTGACTCCAGGTCGTCGGCTTTCTCCTGGCTGTTCCTAGCTGGTGCCTGGCATCGGGGAGTTGAAAATAGACAATTCCCGCCATTATGGTTTTCCAGGTAAAAAGGTTCTAAAGAGTGTTGGGTGGTAACACCCGAAACAGCGGCCATGGGCGTGGGTCCCCGCTGGCGGTGTTAGCCCATCGCCTTCAAGGCGCCGATACCGCTTCCAGCCACCGTGACATGTGCTGTCTTGTCACTTGATTGTTGGATGTGGCTTCCCGCCCACTCCACTTGCACTGTACGCAGTAGCACCGTGTCCCCCAGCTTCGGGATAGACGTTGCCACTTTGTGTCCCGAGGGTGGTCAGCACCTCCCCTGGACCTGTGCTGAGCTTCTCGGTGCCTGTTTGGAGACCCAGCCCCTCTCTGAGCTGCACTGGGAGTCAGGACCGTCACCATCTCTGGCAGCCCAAGCCCCCCGTGTCTCAGTGGCACACACGCCTTCTTGCCAGGTTGTTTCAGCCCGTGCAGTATGGCCAGAAGCCCGAGGGTCGCACCGTGGCTTTCCCCAGCACACACCCACCCCGGACAGCAGCCTCTGCCACAGCCACGGCCACTCCGCAGGGCCACGTGCGAGGACGGCCACCAATTGCCACGTTCTCTGCAAATCCAGATGCAAAAGGTATGCCTCACGTGCTGGTGTGCCCTCGGGGTTACCGAGGGTGTTTGTGGACGGAGCGTCTGGCACTTCCCCTGCCCCTCGGGACAGGTTGCCTGCTCCAGGCTCTGCTGAACACACCTCACGTGGCTCACCCAGGAGTTTCAGGCCTTTTGGTTTGTTGAAACTGGAGTTTTTCCTCGAACAAGACGCTGCAGTCTTGGTCGAGTCGCTGTTGGCATGCTGCTGAAGGTGAGCCTCGGCAAAGGCTCTGTTATGCAGGGACGCGCGTGTCCGACTGTGCATGGGAGCTCAGGAAGGCTGCTCTCGAGTTTGGGGCCCCACTTGCACGTAGCCCGACTGTCACTGTGAAGAAGGGTAGGGCTGACTGGCAGAAGGTAACGGGATGGTGTTCCAGCCTCCGTCACTGGCTCCTATGCGTCCGGCCCGCGTGCACGTGCAGCGCTGCCCCGGGCGTGCGGGTGGGGTGCAGCCCCCGTCGGACCGGCTGGCTGCCAGCCCTCTGTGCCCTGCGGAAGCGGATCGCATGGCCTGCTGATGAACTCGGAGAACACCGCACAGCAGATAGAGAAAGTTCCATTTCACCCCATAAACCACCCCCCCACCCCTTTTTTTAAGAGAGGGCTTCTCATCTGAGAGACTTTAATGAAATGTTTGTTTTGTTTCTTTGAAATTCGGGTTTAAAATACTGCATTTCGTGAAGAACCTCTAACGGCTTTGCACAAACAAACCTTATCGATTGCAGTGGCGGCAGCCCCGTTTCAGACCTCCCAGGCCTCCACCGGCGCTCCCGCTCCGAGACAGCCGCCCGCCTCGACCTCCAGCGCAGCACCTAGCCCAGCCCATCCTGCGAAACCGCGGGCCCCGCCCCCGCCCCCGCCCCAGGCCCCCTCGCACCCGGCGGGGCAGAGCGCGCTGCCTCAGGGGCTGGTGCTCACCTCGCAGGCTCAGGCGCGCCTGCCCAGTAAGTGGCCTCGCCCCTCCCGGTTCTGCCACGTCTTTGCCACGGGAAGTTGTGTTCCGATCAGCGTGTGTGAAGAGCCTTGCTGTCCACTCCCTTTGTCTCCCTAACCCCACGCCCGGGCTCTGCCTTTCGCCACGCTGTCGTTACTGGCCCTAGGTGTGCAGAGGGACGCCCTCTGCAGGGCCAGCATCAGGGCCCTGTCCTCCTCTGCCCTTTCTCCTGACCCCCGGACATCAGCTCTGCTTTCCTCCCGCGCATGCTCTGCTGGTGTGCTGACTGCCTCACTTCTCCTTAGCGTCAGCCAGAGGCTCGTTCCGTCGGCCACGGGGCTCAGCCCGGGGAGCAGGTGGTACTCAGGCGAGAGCACGTAATGTCCTCGCTGGGAACCGGTGCCGGTTGTTAAAAACCACGACTTGTTTTGACTCTTTCACTTATGATCACATTGAAGCCTGGAGTGAATTCCTGCTCAGCTGAGACGTCACATAATAAATTGGTGATGAAAATGTCACAATATTACTACATTTCCTTAGGCCTTTTTACTGTGACCGGTGTCGTTAGCATATTTGCATATCTTTCATGTGCCCCAGCTGATCGTGCTGTAGGAAGTGCCCTTACACAGACGGTCGTAGGCACCGTTTCTCAGACGTCCCTTCGAGCACTTCGTTTGTGGCCGTGACCAGTGTGTGGAGGTCTCTCTGGGAAGCTGGGGGGCGGATGTCACGGGGAGACCCCGAGTTCGGGCTAGTCTATTGTGAGGAGGCCTTGCTGCTTCCACTGCCAGGGAGTGAAGAGTTACGGTCCTGCTGGCTGCCTGGGGGAGGGAGCCCCTGCACGGGTGACATTTTTGTTTGCCAGGGACAGGTGTTGCAGGGGCCGTGCCATGGGAGCTGAGCTCGGGCAGAGCCCCCTGCTGCCCTTCGCTCTGTGTGGACGGAGCAGGGCCGGGGACCCTGTGCACACGCACGTCTCGGTGCCTCCTCCTGTCGTCCCTCCTGTGCACAGCTTCTGGGGGCAGGGCCTCTGGGTTTCTTCCTGGTCTTCTGCTAACTGTTCTCTGTATGGTGTCACTAATCATTCTGGCATGGATTTCTTTGAGGGGAGCGTTTATGTTCCACTATCAGCCATTGGGGGGCAGAACCCTGTACCCCTGGCGTTCACTCAGAGCCTGCAGGTAGTACCTTTCTGAGCCGAGTGCACAGGACTCCATCCGAGTTACGTTTTCACAAACGATGTGTTAAGCAATGTCGAGTCTGGCATTTGTTCAGTCAGCGTTCTAGATCAAATCCTACAGTCTAGTCCAAGTTAGTGGGAACCTTTATATCTTACAGCTACGTTTGTGTGATGTGTTTACGCTAGTGACCCGTTCTCTTACACTCGGAGGGGTATAATCTTGTGTACCTCTGTGCACTGAATTGGACACGTACTTTTTCACATTTTGAAAGTCTTCTAAAGAGGTTGATATTAGAGGGGCTTCTGGGTGGCTCAGTTGGTTAAGCGACTGCCTTCGGCTCAGGTCATGATCCTGGAGTCCCGGGATCGAGTCCCGCATCGGGGCTCCCTGCTCAGCGGGGAGTCTGCTTCTCCCTCTGACCCTCCTCCCTCTCATGTGCGCTCGCTTGCTTTCTCTCATTCTCTCTCTCTCAAATAAATAAAATCTTAAAAAAAAAACTTAAAAAAAAAAAAGAGATTGATATTTAGTATATGATAGTTCCAAAGTATATTACAAATAGATTTCTGCTGTTTTTGACGTTTGCTGCTTTTTCATTGGTTGGAGAGAAAAATAAAATGTTAGTAGTTTGGTTAATTATATTAAGATCTGATATCGAAAATCTCTACCAGTTCTGATTAAATAAACCATTAAGATCCAATATTAATTTTCTCTTTTTTATTGAAATGATTATTTTCTGAAAGCGTTAGGAAGCAATACCTAAGAAACATTTCCATGACGCTTCCGTTTACCACAGACGGTCATTCTGGACGACAAATGGTCGTCAGTAGAACAGTTGCAAACTTCTCCCAGAGGTTTTAATCCCGTCTTCCTCTGCATTTCCGCAGGTGGGGAGGTGGTCAAAATAGCCCAGCTGGCTTCCCTGGCGGGGCCGCAGAGCCGGGTCGCCCAGCCAGAGACCCCGGTGACACTGCAGTTCCAGGGGAACAAGTTCACCTTGTCGCACAGCCAGCTTCGGCAGCTCACCGCCGGCCAGCCCCTACAGCTGCAAGGTAGGGGACAGCGCCCCGTGCCCTGCTGTCGGCCCGGCCTCTCCCCTGCCGCTGCCACTCGGGCACGTCGGGCAGCCCCTGGGACCTCAGGTGCCTCACCTGGAGACAGCCTGCATGAGCCTTCCCTTGTGGGGTGTTGAGAGGGGCCGGCTGGGCAACAAGCAAAGCACCTGCTTGCCTGTGGTGGACGCGTGCTGTGTAGCTGGTACTGTTTTTTGACAAAATAGGCTCTTTGGAAATGTTGCTCATTTTTATATTTTTTTACTTTTATACTCTTTTAAGTAAGTTCTATGCCTGGTGTGGGGCTTGAACTCACGACCCCGAGATCAGGAGTCATAGACTCCACTGGCTAAGCCAGCCAGGTGCCCCAAATATTCCCTATTTTTAAAATCAAAATAGAGATATTTGTTACTTTTTAATTTTAGTGTGAAATAAATTGTCCTAGAACCACCACAGGACTAGCAAATTATGTAGAAGCTGTGTTCTTTCATGTACAGGTTTTACGGCGTTGACGCCTAGATCAAAGCCTCTCAGGCCTTTGTCTGCGCATGACGTATTCCTGTGGTAACTGCTTTCAACTGCTTTGTCAGAAGACGGGCAGTCCGAGGGGCACCCTGGGATTAGCCCTAAGTGGATGGTAGCGGCTTAGAGCTTGAGCCCCCCTTGGCTGCAGGCGTAGGCCACACGTGGCACCCACAGCAGCCCCCCCGGGACGGGGTGTGAGCCGCGCTTGTAAGCCCACGCTGGGACGCTCTGTACGGGCGCTGGAAGGTCACACACACCAGAGCGGAGGCCCCAGGAAACCTGCAGCAAAGACAGCTTGTAATTTGGCCTAATTCCCTGTTCTTTCAGTTTTCTGGCCACAGGGGTAAGGCCATCTGTCTATACCTCCGGCAGGCTCTGCTTTGCGCGGAACCTGGCATGGGGACGTTCCTCCAGAGTAAACGATGTCAGACTTCATCACACAAAAGGTGGACCGTGGCTCCTTAATTAAACTAAGTGCGGAGAGAGCTGAGCTTTGAGGCTGGAGGGCGTGTTTGGACGTTCCTTCATCGGCTTCACGGGCCAGCCGGTACCACGTGTGATCCAGAGCTGGGACTCTTGCCCTGGCACTGGCTTGGGGCCTCAGGCAGGCCTGACAGACCCATCCTGGGTGCCTACCGCATTGCCCGAAGTCAGGAATGGCAAAGAATAGAGGAGCATTTTCTTGACTTTAAGTAGAAGTGAGTGTGTTCTTTAGTTTTTCATTAACTGTCAGTGAAATACTCTCATTTTTTTCAAGTAACTGAACTCTGCGCTGCCTTGTTGGAGTAAATTTGAATTTGGGTTTTTGGTTTGTTGCTTCATTTGTTCCTGTATGTTTGGATGTGCTGCGTGTAGCAGGTAGAGGAGGCGCACGCAGCCCGTGACGCTTCTTGGTGCTCTTGTGATTGCAGGCAGCGTTCTTCAGATTGTATCCGCCCCAGGGCAGTCGTACCTGCGACCGCCAGGCCCCGTGGTGATGCAGACCATGTCTCAGGCGGGCGCCCTCAACGCCTTGGGAAGCAAGCCCCCGGCCGGCGGCCCGGGCCCAGCCCCCGTGACTGCGCCAGGTAGAGTGTCCTGAGTGGGAACACTTAGGCGTTGAAGCTTCTTTCTGTGAGACTTTGCTTCTAAGGTAACGGGGAGCTGTTTATGATTTGTGCCCGTGGCTACGTCTCAGAAGCTGCAAATCCCGCTGTGACGGTCTCTGCTCTCCGCAGACGGGCCGCTGTCAGCCTGGTCTGTTTTCTCTCTCGTTTCCCTCTGAGAGGAATCTGGAATATGACTGGTCTCCACTCACCTAGAGTTTTTTCTTTTTGTTCTGACACGAAGCTTGGAATCATGAGAAATTTGGTTTGCTAAGGTCACACGGACATTTAGCGAGCGTGCTAGAATTTCCCCTGGGACAGGTGATGGAACAGGATTTGGGCCCTTCTCCATCTGGCCCGTCCGTGGCCTGCTTCCCACCGGGGTCTGGCCCTCCCAGACGTGCCCAGCCTCGTGTGGTCTGCTGAGGAGGTTGGGCGGGCGGGTGGGGTTCGTGGGTGGAAGGAGCAGGGGGACCCCTCCCGACCCGAAGCCCTTGTCCCTGCTCAGCCCCAGTCTCTGTCTTGTCTGTGGTGACACTGGGTGGGGCTGTGCCGTGGGGTCTGGAGGGCAGCACTTCTGTGTCCCAGCCGTGGCGTGCGTTTCTACCTGTGGTTGGTTCTGTTCTCCAGGGCCCCTCCCACCCCACCAGAGCCCGCTGCTGGCACCTGTCCCCCAAGGCAGTAGCCACCCCCCGCCCGAGCCGTCCCCTGAAGGGGCTGTCTCACCCCAGGCCCCTTCAGTCCTCAGTGCCTCCCGTGCAGTCTGTCAGGACACGCGGTTGGCCTGGCTGTTGGCGGTGGGCCACTGGGGCGCGGCGACGGCCCCATCCTGCTTTGGAGGATGAGGGCAACGCTGACCCTGCTGGGGGAAGGCGGGCAGGTGGAGTCCAGGGCATGTGTGCGTGGCCACGTGGCTGCAGCGCTGTGTGGTGGCATTAAGGATGACCTCGGGCCTCAGGTGTGCGTGCTTCCTCTGAGCGCACTCGGCACTCACCAGTGGAGAGAGACAGGCCCATGGCTCGGACGACGGCCAGAGAGCGGAGTGCTTTGCAGGCGGTCCTGAGTGATGAGGGCTTGAGTCAATGCGTTGTGAGAGCGAGCTGCCCGAGGACGGGTCTGCAGAGCCACCGTAGCTTTGCGTTCCATCTCCTCCCTCTTGCTTTGCAGTTGGTGTGCCTGGGCGAGTGGCGGTCAATCCCTTGGCTGCTGGAGAACCTGGAATGGCCCCCAAACCAGCCTCCCCTGTCGGAGGGCCAACCCAGGTATGGCCCCTACCCGCACCGGCACCGCATGGGGCCCGGGCCCCTCCTGCGCCCCTGGAAGTTGTTTTTCAGAAGCTGCTTGTTGGGGGGACGGTTGTGATGTTTAATGGTGTTGTCGACATACACGCCTTTGAAAGCACATCATCCCTCTGAATCCCAGAATTTCACTTTAAAAATACATTTCATAACAAAGGAAAGTGGGTTTCGTGATTGCAGAAATCCTCTTCCACGTTTTATGTTTTCATATCTGTCTCCCCGGCGTTAGAAATCTCACCGTGTCTGGAGAGAGGCTCTTCAGTCAGAGACACACACCAAGGCACACAGACGCCTCCTTCCTGTGGCGGTCTGCCGTAGAAGGGGACGTGGGTGTCTCAGGGTCGCCGTGCGCGAGGGACACCACGGGGCTCGGTGAGACCAGGCCCTGGGCTTCAGTGACCATTTTTAACACTTTCCCATGAAGGAGGAGAAGAGCAGACTTCTGAAAGAGCGACTGGACCAGATCTACTTTGTCAACGAGCGGCGCTGCTCGCGAGCCCCCGTCTACGGCAGAGATTTGCTGCAAATTTGTTCCGTGGTCGGCCGAGAACAGACACCTTGGCCCGGGGCTTCTGACAGCAGTCAGCGGAAGGGTGCGGGGCCAGCAAGTGCTTACACGTCGCCCTCAAATGGTCAGAAGGACCTGATTTTGACGCTGGCCCAACGGCAAGCCTGCCTGCAGGATGTCATCGACAGGTAGGGCAGCCTGCGTGTGTGCCTGTGCTTCGCTCTCCTCCACGGGCTCCCGTGGGCCTCCGGCACTGCTTGTCGTCCTGTCACGGAGTCTGTTCCCGTCACCTTCTCCGCGAGCTATTCTCAGACGTCTGTCTTGAATCATTTCCTGGGTCTTCAGCTTTGGCACCAGCCTGTCTTTCCACCCTCCGGGAAGGCTTTGTGTCCTGAGGTGGCTTTCTTTTCCCCTGGGCACTGGGCCGGTCCCCGGACAGCACTTGGGTGAACGTTGGCTGGCCTGGGTACATTCTGGGTACATGGAACAGACCACTGTGTGGTTGATGAGTTTCTCCATGTTCTTTTAAAGTAACATTTTATTTAAAAACCACATGAAAAACTTCGCATTGCATGGTGAGAAACGTGTATTTAAGAGTCAAACTCAGAAACTAGCTCTAGGAGAGAAAACAAAAACAGAGATGCTATTGGGCCAGCCCCACCCCCCGCCCACCGTGCGTCTTGGCTTCCTCTTTGCCCCACCTAGCGTCGATGCTGTTTGCACGCCGTTCCCTGCTTTGAGCACAGGTCAGGTCCAGCCTGAGGATGGGTCTTCTTTCCCTCCTCTGCTCCGTGCACCCGGCCGAGTGTTTATCGTGGGGACCCGGCAGCGCTCGTGTGGCCCAGCTCGCACCCACCGCACTAGCGCGCAGAGCCCTCCTGCTGCCCCGAAGCCCTGTGCTCCGCCTGGTCGCCCCTCCCCATGAAACCCTGGTAACCGGCAACCTCTTTACTATCCCCTAGCGGTGCCTTTTCCAGAGTCGTATCGGCTGTGGACTCTTCAGATGGGCTTCTTTCTCTCAGCGAGGAGCGGTGAAGTTTCCTCCATAGCTTTCTGTGGCTTCACGGCCATTTCTTTTTAGCCCCCAATAATGCTCCCGTCTCCGGATGGGCCCGTCTGTCCATCATGTACTGAGGAACGTCTTGGTTCCTTCCAAGTGTCGGCAGTCACGGACGAAGCTGCTGTAAACGTCCACGTGTAGGTTTTTGTGTGAACGTAAATTTCAGTCCATTTGAGTAAAACCCAGAAGCGTGACTGTGAGATCATCTGGTGGGAGTGTGTTTCGCTTTGTAGGAGACGGTCCAGCAGACGAGCCGAGTGCGCCCTTCTGCACCCCCAGCAGCAGCAGCAGCGAGCGCCCCTGCGGCCCCTCGTCACCTCCCTGTGGTCCGTGCTGCGGCTCCTGCCGTTCTGACACGCGTGCAGCGGTGTCTCATGGCTGTTGTAATCTGCGTTTCCCGGAGGGCATACCACGCGGAGCCTGTTTTCGTAGCTTTTTGCCATGTGCGTCTCTTTTTTGGAGAGGTGTCCGTTAGGGTTTTTGGCCCATTTTTTAAACGGGTTTTCTACTGTTGGGGTTTAAGAGTTCTTTGTATGTTTTGGATGACAGTCCTTTGTCAGAGGTGTCTTCCACACTTTCTCCTCATCTGTGGCTTGTCTCCTCGTGTCATTGGCTTTCACACGGCGGAAGCGTTTAGGTTTGCTGAAGTCCAGCTCTCTGTCCTCCCACGGGCCGTGCCATTGGGGTTAGGCCTGGAAAGTCATCTTTGCCTGCCCCTCTCTCCGGGCCCTGGTCACCCGGGCTCGCCCTGCGTCCTCTTCTGGGGGCCCCTTGGCTGCATCCCCTTTAGATCCACGGTCCAGTCTGAGTTGGTGTTTGTGAAGGGACTAGGTCTATGTCTAGATTCATTTTTCCCCCATTTAAAGAATCTCGTATTTCAGAAAATCTTCAGATGTGTATAAGCAGAATAATGCAGTGAGCCCCAGTGTACCCGTAGCCCACTTTCAACACTTACAGTCTTGTTTTACCTGTTGACTGCCCCGAGGCACAGACTATTTACAGCAAGTTCCGAACAAACACGAGTTCCTGTATAAGATTTTGTTGTGCTCTGAAAGAAACACGGTCGCCGTACCATTATCACACTTAAAAAAAGAACAGTTTTTAATACCATTAAGTGTCTGTTCCGCACGCACGGTTTTGGTTGTCTCATAAATGTTTTTATGGTTCACATTAAAATCACAGTAAAGTAAATACGTAGCAGTTGGCTGATACATGTCATGTAGCTCCTAATCTGTAGGTTGTGCTTCTAGCTTGCCTTTTTTTTCCCCTTGAAATTTATTTGTTGAGGAAACCTGCTGGTTTTCCCTGTAGAATTTCCCAGAATCTGGATTTGCTGAATTGGTTGCTCAAGGTATAATCTGACATGTTGCTTTCTTCCCCGTGTTGTCTGTAAATTGCTGGATTCAGAGGCTTGATCAAATTTATGTTGGTTGGTGGTTATTTGGGGTTTCTTGGGTAGCGCTGTTAGGAAGCCAGGATGTCTGGCTGAGTCTTTCATGTTCACGTGTTTGCGTGTGGGTGTCCACTTGTTCCAGCACCATTTGTTGAGAGATAGTCTCTGCTCTGTTGGGAGAGCTGAGGTGACTGTCCCTCTCTCCGGGCCCTCCATCCTATCTGTTGGCCTGTTCCCTCACCAGCACCGCGTTGTCTCGATGATCCCTGTGCCTTTACAGCGAGACCCGGTGCCGGGCAGTGTCCCTCGTCCAGCTTTGTTCTCGTTCGGTATTGTGTGGGCCTTCCGGCCTATGGCTTTTCCGTGTTAGCCTTAGATTCAGTGTGTTGGTAATCTACAGAGTAACTGGCTGAAGTTTGGATTAGGATTACACCAGATGTTTAGGTCAGGTCGGGAAGAACGGACGTGTTGGCCGTGTGGACTCTTCAGATCGGTGAACGTGGACTTGCTCTCCATTTATTTAGTGCTTTGATTTTGTCCACCCATGTTTTGGGGCTAGATGGCCTTTTTGTTTGCATGTGGTAGGGAGCAAGTCAGGGAAACGCAGCTTGAGCTGACCTCCAGAGTGAGGCTGTCCTGGCGTGGGTGGCATCCAGGAGTCTGGAGGGCGTGTGTCACATGCTGTCATGGCCCATCCGAGTCGTCACTGTGCTGCTCTCAGCAGGGCCCCTTCCTGCTAAGTCTGGCTTCCCTCCTGGTGGCACGGTGGCTGTACCAGCTCTGGGGTTCGTATTCTCCCCCCAGACCATCCTGGAGACGCAGCACCGGCACCCCCAGATTCCCATCAGAACACACGAGTTTCATGGGGAGTGCACCATCTCTGTGCCCTTTCCTGCAGTCTCTGGGGGTGCCCTGCGCTGATTGTTTCCATCTGGGTGGTGGTTGTTAGCCAGGACTGGCGGGACCCACTCCCATGGTTGCTGTGATGGATGGTGTGGGCCAGCAGCCGTGTCACCCCGGTGGTGACTGTAATTAGGCACCCCGGCTTTTCTGACCATTCCACCATTGGAAGGTTCTGCCCGCTTCCTTATTGAGCTGTTGCTTCCTGAGATGAGCTGCTGGTGGAGACGCTGTGGGCAGCGCGTGCGACACAGTGCTTTCTGCTTCTCAGGGTGGTGTGTGTGATCCCTCCGGTGGTGGCTGCACCCCCGTCCTTGTGGGTGGCGAGGCCGCCGTCCCTCTACAGCCACAGGATGAGGATCTTGAGGCACTGCCTGAGAGAGCACACGGCTCCCTACGCGCAGCAGCTGCAGCGGATGACCGCCCTGCGCTCCCTCCGGTTTCCTGAGCTCAGATTGGTCCAGTTTGACTCAGGTACAGCGGGGCTCCCGTCTGCACTGGCCTTGAGGTTGGCCTTCCTTGCCTTGGGTTGTGAGAAACGCGATGTTGTCCACTCCGTAGGAAAGCTCGAGGCTTTAGCCATCTTACTTCAGAAGTTGAAGTCTGAAGGACGTCGAGTGCTGATCTTGTCACAGATGGTTCTCATGCTGGACATTTTAGAAATGTTCTTGAACTTCCATTACCTCACCTACATCAGGATCGATGAAAACGCCAATAGCGAGCAACGGCAGGTAAGGAAGAGGGGGTTTCCTTTGTTCCCGTCGACGGTGCAGTGTCGTTCGCATGAATCTGCACTCTCTGCCCTGGCTTCTGAGAGCCGTGTGAGCGCTGGGCTGTGTTCGGTCCTTCTGAACGAGGGGAGGGGCCGCTTCACGTCCTTGGGCTCTAGCGGGTCTGCAGCCCATGCGTCCTGTTACGGGGTGCACGCCGTTACTGGGGTGTGGTGGCCTGCGGCCATAGGGAGCGGGTCGGCGCGCTTCAGGCGCAGCCAGGGGGTGAGAGCGTGGGCGCAGCCCCCACGAGGCACCCTGTGAGAAATGCAGGTCACATGGCGTGCCCCCTTTCACTTGTCAGAGTGGCTAAGGTGTGTTGCTTGGGTCAGCACAGCGAGACGGGTGATCTCAGGCCCTCCCGGCCGGTGCGAAGCTGCACAGCTTCCTAGGAGTCAGGCTGATGGTGTGGGGCGTGCGGCTCCACCACTCCTCCCTGGAGCCATGCACACATGCAGCCGCAGAATGGGTCGCTAGGTCGTGCGTGCGCCGTGCTGCTGGGTGGCACCGTCCCGAGCAGCCGTGGGCTGGACTGCACAGTGGTCATCAGAGTGCTCAGCACGGGGTGTAGTGGCACAAGCAGAACGCCCCTGCCGGAAGCAGGCTGCCAGCCCGTGTGAGCCCACACGCGCGCACACCCAGAGGGCCTAGAAGGAGGTGCAGCATGGGGTTGGCGGACGGGTTTCCTCGGCAGTGATGTAACGGATCGCATGCGGACTCTCCGGGAAGAAGAGGGGTCCCTGTGACAGTCGGGTTTGGTGCTGAGATCACTGCAGGGCCTGTTTCCCTGCTCCCTCAGCCTTACTCCTGGGCCTTTTGCTGTGAAGGCCCCGGCATTGCCTGAGGGTACAGGACCGAGCACACGTCCCTCCCCGGGAAGACTCTGTGTTCTCCTGGGGCCTACGGGTTGAGCTGACAGTCCACGTCAGGTCGGAGCTGACATTTTCCTTTTGTCAGTGAGGCCTGGCATGTGCAGAGTATGGGGGGTGTCTGTGATCAGTAAGCGGGAGAGGGCCAGACGTTTGTTCCTGGCTGGTAGGCGTCAGAATGTGCCCCAGCTGTGCCTGCTTTGACCAGGGGAGCTAACCCGAGAGCTTTACTTCATCTCAGGAGCTGATGAGGAGTTTCAACAGAGACAGGAGGATTTTCTGTGCAATTCTGTCAACTCACAGCCGCGCCACCGGCGTGAGCCTGGTGGAGGCCGATGCGGTGGTGTTCTATGACAACGACCTGAACCCCGTGATGGACGCCAAGGCCCAGGAGTGGTGCGAGCGGATCGGGAGGCGCAAGGACGTCCACATCTACAGGTGAGGGTGGCGGGCGCGACACGGAGTCCGTGAAGGCCTGGGGACAGGAGGTGCTGCTGGAGCTCAAGTGTACGCTACAGCTCGTTCCAGAAGTTTCTGCCGCATCGTTTGTTTTTTTCTGAGGCAGACTGCTTGCTGCTTTGTCTGTTCTTTCTTTAGGCCCAACGTTTGCTCAGTTTATAATTAGTTTGCTTGAAACTGATCGAATTACGTTGCTTAGACGCAGCTTTGCTGTGCCCTCGACACGCACCTGTCGTGCACCTGACCCCCAGGAGGGCGGTTTATATTTCAGTGTTTCAGCTGCTACCTGGCTTGAGTCGTCTGTCAGTAAAATAGCGACTGAAAGAACTCAAATCCGTGGGCACTGCCTGTAGACACAGAGGATCACTGGCCCCTCACATAACCGAGGAAAGTGGAGGAGCCTCTCCCGTGTATTTCTGAACCTGCCGAAGCATCCATCATGGTGGTGTAATAACAGCGGGTCTCTGATACGTGCTAGCACCCGACGGCCCTGCCCCCGTGCGTGCTGGTGTGTGCGCGGCGGCACCGTGTGCAAGGCCCCCACCTGTGCAGGTGACCACTCCTTCCACCGAGGCTGAATTTAAGTAGCTGCATTACTGCCTCTCTGAGGTTCAAGGAGAAGTATCCCTCAGAGATAGAAGTTAGTAACGTTTGCTGTATGTCTTTCCACGCGTCCTTGTAACTGTTTAATGGCTCACACGACAGTCTCGTTAGTCCCCTCTTCTCCCAGTGTTATGTGAGCAACGTTTTTCTGAGTGATGCTTTTAGCAGTTACTGAAATCGTTGACCCTTTAGCAGTTACTAGCCAGAAATGGGAAAGCTATTTTATTCTCGGTAACCATAATCCACAAGTCAGGAACAGTCTTGGCAGTGAAGGTGCGGGATGTGTAGGAAACAAGAATCAAATTGTGCAAAACGTGCTAAGATGGGAGTTGGAGACTGAGCTGTGTTCTGGCACGGGAAGACCTGGTGCGTAAAATGTCCTCCCCCCAAAGCGACGTTAACACGCAGAAGAGTTTTCAGGAAAGCTGTCATGGGGGTTTGTGTATGTGCGTGCGTGTGTACCTGTGAGTGGATAAAGTGGGTTTTATTTGTTTTTATTTATTTTCAAAGATTTTATTTATTTGAGAGGGAGACAGAGCACACACACATACACGCACAAGTGGGAGGAGGAGCAGCAGAGGGAGAAGCAGGGAGCCCACCAAGCAGGGAGCCCGACGTGGGGCTTGATCCCAGGACCCTGGGACCATGACCTGAGCTGAAGGCAGACGCTTAACCGACTGAACCACCCAGGCGCCCCTCCAAATACCCTTTAAAAACCACTTTATCCAGGGGTGCCTGGGTGGCTCAGTCGTTAGGCGTCTGCCTTCGGCTCAGGTCATGATCCCAGGGTTCTGGGATCGAGCCCTGCGTCGGGCTCCCCGCTCGGTGGGAGGCCTGCTTCTCCCTCTCCCACTCCCCCTGCTTGTGCTCCCTCTCCCACTGTCTCTCTCTGTCAAATAAAATCTTAAAAAAAAAAAAATAAAGTGTATTTGGAGTGAAGGGTAGCTGATAACGGCCGACAGAAACGCTGACAAAGGTTGCAGTGGAGAGGTCTGGGGGAAGGCTCGTGGTCGGGGGCGAGCAGTGAACAGCGCGAGTGTGAGCCAGCAGGGTGGGGTTCCAGCTTCGTTGGAGTGCAGGTCGTTTAACGCTTGTTGCTGACACCGTGGACCGTGAGGAAGAGCTGGGGTCGGAGTGTTGTGCCCGCTTTATGGCCAGAACACCGGCGCCAGGGTTAGGCACACAGGTGTAGAAACAAAGCGGCGGTCTTAGCATAGTATTGAAGAGATGATACCTGTGGCTTGAAGGCATCACTTTAGCCAAACAGAAAGCTTGGAGGGAAGGAAAGGCAGACATACCTGACTGTAGTAAAATGAAAATTTAAGTTTTGGTTTTGCAAGAAGATTCCATAAACAAAGCTAATGCACAAATAATAGATTGGGACAATTATTGGCAATTCTCACAACAGACGGAGGGTTAGATAGCTCTTATAAGTTGAGAAGAAAGATAAATGAGCCCTTCTTTGAGAAAGGGGGGAGGCACCTGAGCATCCGAACGGGCCAGTCCAGCTGCCCCCACGTTTGGTGGGACGCCCAGGCTCGGAGGCAGAGAGTAGGTAGCTGTGTGTGTGATGGCCTTCGTTACGCACCCAGACGGGTCGGCAGTGGGCACGGCTGCCGGTGGTGCCGGCCGAGGGAGCGCCTACCCGTGACTGGGGGCATGGGGTGGTTGCACTCTTTTGACATCAGGTTAGCAGGGTCTGCTGAACTGGAGATTGTGTGTGCCCTCTGTCCCCAGCATTTCCCTCCAGGGACCCTGGCCCGTGGCGTCCCTGGTCACTGTAGCTTGTTTACACAGCGCAGTGGGAGCCAGAGAATGCCCATGCTTGGGGTACAGCCGTACCCTGGGCATCGAGCAGCCACTGGAACCGTGCCACCAGGCCCCCCGCACCCCAGCTGCTCGTGGCGTCGTGCTTCCAGGCGCCCGGTTACCGTACACGTGTCTATGTTTTGTAGGCTTGTGAGTGGTAACTCCATTGAAGAGAAGCTGTTGAAAAACGGAACCAAAGACTTGATCCGGGAAGTAGCCGCTCAGGGCAATGACTACTCCATGGCCTTCCTGACGCAGGTACCCGTCAGCGGCCTGCAGTCCTCCTGGGTGCTGCGTGATGACCGGGGGCCGGGGGGGGCGGGGTGGCGCGTGTGGATGAGGAATTGCTCGGCGGTTTCCCTGGTGACGCAGTCTGACGCTCAGGTCAGGTGCTGGCCCGTTTTCAGCTGGACACTAATGTGCGTTTTATGTGCAGCGGACCATCCAGGAGCTGTTTGAGGTGTGTTCTCCCACCGATGATGCCGGCTTCCCAGTGAAGGCAGAGGAGTTCGTGGTCCTCTCTCAGGAGCCTTCTGCTACAGAAATCATCGCGCCCAAAATTGCAAGACCTTTCATTGAGGTGAGGACAGATCGCCTACCCTGGAGGTCACAAAGGATTTGCCGCACCTGCTGTGGGCCCTGAGCACCCTGCCTGCTCTGCAGGCCCCCCTCGCTCAGCCCTGGCACACCCTGCCTGCCCGCTTTCTTTCTCTTATGGGCATTTTCGTCTGGAAAAGCAGGTAAACAGCGGCGGAGAGTCCGGGGGCCTCAGGCACCTGCTGCCCGGCTCAGCGGCCATCGCTGTCCTCATCGGCTCTTCCTGAGCCACACTGCCTCCCCGGAGCCGTAGCGGGCGGCTGGTGGCGTGGAGCACCTCGCCTGTCCTGTCTGCCCTGTCCTGCCTGGCCCCACGGCCTGCCGTCTCGGCTCCTGTCTGAGAGGCGCCCCGTGTGCGAGTGTAGCTGCACACCCGGTTCTGAGGACAGTACAAAGGAGAACGTGAACGATCTTGTTAATACCTTTTTATGTTGGTTGCTTGATGAAATAACACTTGGGTTTATCTGGTTAAATAAAATACTGCCATTTACACATTCAGCACGTGAGCTAGAGATGCTAGATTACGTGGCTTGTGCAGTACCGCTTTTGGGTAGTGCTGCCGTGTAGACACACTGTAGACCCGCCGTTGGGGCCGTGTGCCCTCCTGCCCTGCCTCGTGGAGCAGCCTGGCTGCGGCTCCCCACAGGACTCCCCCTGTCCCTTGGCCTGCCTCGGGGGGGGTTACCCCCTCCCCCTCCTTCCCGGGTGTCGTTTTGCGGGCTCTTAGCCTCGTGGGGACCCCCGTGTCCTGGACCTCTTCCTGCACCCTTGCCCGTGATAGAAGGCTGCGCTAGGTCCCCCGTGGCGCCTCTCCACCCTCGTCCCCGTTCCCTTGGTGAGGAGGACTTGCCGCAGCCTCGGCTGATTTAAAAATTCTCATTTGGTTGAGAAGTAATAAATGTGAGGTAAAGCCTTCGAGAATTTGTCATGAAAAGCAAGTGTCCCTCACCAGACCCTCCCTCTCTGCTCAGCGATGACCACTTGATGCGGTTCCTCCTGCCTCCCTCCTGGAGTTCCCCGTGTACGATGACCCCACACACAGACACCTGTGGCTCCTTCTGCATCTGGAGGGACAGATAGATCAACCCTGTTCTTTTAAAAACAGGTGTTATGTGCATGAGGTTAAAAAGAAAAAGTTGGTGGTTTCTCAGAAATAATGATTTTTCCACTGAAAGTCTCGCACGTGTCCTGGGAGAGAAATGAGAGGCAGCAGGGTGTGTGCTTGCGGAACATGGTGTTCCGTGTACAGTTGTCTTGGGGACACGGGCGTACCACACGGAGCGGCACGCTGGCTCAACACACAGGTGCTGTCCACGTGTATTTGTTGAATGCTCTGCCGTGCGTCGGGCATGTTCTAGGCGGGAGGGACCTAGTATTGACTAAAACACGTAGTGTCGTCCCCCGCCCCCCGCCGTGAAGCTTACATTCCAGTAAGAGGAGAGATTGTAAGCCAGCAGACAAGTAGATCACAGACTCTCCCTGCTGCGGTGGCGAGCAGTGCCGAGGGCCCCCGCAGACAGCGGACGATGTCCAGGGAGGGGTGGCAGGGGGTCAGCAGGGGATGGGGGGGTAAGGGAGGTGGGGCCTGGCCGTGTTCTTAAAAACGGCCCTGTGGCTCTGTGCCGAGTCTGGATTGTGGGGGCCGGAGCAGAGGGCCGTGGCAGGGGCGCAGGCGGAACCGCCACGCACGGAGCAGCAGTACCAGGATGACTTCCCGGATGTCCGGGATGCCCGGGACGTCTCCAGCAGGGGTGATGCTCTTCAGAGGATTCGTGCAGGAAAATGGCTTTCGGTGAAAGTTTTGTTGAAGCACGAGAACCTCCTGAGAGGCACCCGTGTCACAGAGAATCAGCTTGAGAGGGCGCTCCAGGGAAAGCCCCGAGAAACTGCCTGCCCCCTCACCACTTGTGTCCCCCAGGGCTGCTCTTCTGCCTCCTGACCACCAGCATGGGGCTGCCCGTGCGGGTCTGGCTTCTGGTTGACGCTCCACTCCTTGGGTCATCGTGATTTCCTTCTCCGGCCCACCATCTGTGTTTGAGCCATGTGTCTGTGAATATTTTCTGTGTGTCTCTTGGCAGACGCACCGATGCATCTCTGCTAACTTTTGGGTAGTGCACCTTAGGGTGGGGCCCTGGGGTCATCGGGGAGCATGCGTGTGACCCACCGGGGCTGCCAGGCAATTTTCCAAGCTGGCCAGGCTTCTCTGTCCTCTGTCAGCCGCATAGGACTTGAGACGTGGGGTGTCGTTCCCAGCAGTGTGTTGGCGGATGTGCCCGTGTCTCTGGTTGGATTTGCCTTTGCTGTCGGCCCACGAATTTGTGTCTGCATGTCCCTAGCAGAAGTGTTTGCTCACGTCTTTTCCCCTCTTTTTTGGTTAACCTAGCTGTTGGTTTTCCTCAGTGGTTTATTGGCGTTCTTCCTGTGTTCTGGGCGGTTACATGTGGCCTACCTTCCTGTGTTCTGCAGTCTGCCTTTTGGAATGCTTTCAGGGGCAGGGACTCTGGACTCTGAAGCCGCCCAGTGGCCCGACTTTATCACGGTTGCTGCTCTCGCGTGCTGCCTAAGAGACGTTCTCCTGACCCCGGGTCGTCAGGACGTCCTCGCTTGTTTTCCTCCGGGTGCTTCAGTGTTTATCTTTGTACTTAGAAGTGTGGTCTGTGTGTAGTGTGAGGTCAGGTTACGTTTTAAACTGCAGGTTTTGCCAGGTCGCCAAGAAAAGAGGTTCTATAGCTCATAATCGACACCTGGTAACCGGAGACCGCTGGGTTGTGCCCGATGTGCGAGTGTGCATTCCACACTCGGCCGCGCCTGTCAGGCCTGAGTTCCGGGCTATGGGAAGGCGCCTCCTTCCTTCCACTGGTGTTTGTTGGTCTGTGGTGGCACCGACCATCTTACACGCCTGTCGTCTGTGGGCTTGGTTCTGGCAGCCGTGGCGTTGGGTCGTTTGTGTCCTGTTCATGCTGTGGACAGCGGCCTGTGTCTCGTGCACCGTGAAGACTCGTTCTCGTCTGTCAGAGCCGCGGCTGCGAGGCGTGTCGGTTTGAGGTTGAATGAGATGCCCTGTCCCGGAGCGGGAGCTTCGTGGGATGGCAGCACGTGGCTCTTCCCCCCGGGCTTGTCCATTGTGGCCGTGAGCCACTCACACTCGTTCTCTGCCTCCCTCGGTGCTTCTTTCTCTGGGCCAAGCAGGTCCTGAACAAGAGCGTGTCACCGCCAGGGGGCTGCACGTGCAGTGAGGCGTTTTGTTGGCGCTACATAGGGCGGGTCCTTCTCAGAACCCCGTAATTTAAAAATATATGAAAGTAGTATGAACACGTAATCTCTTTAGGCCCTCAAGAGCATCGAGTACCTGGAGGAAGACGCCCAGAAAGCCGAGGAGGAAGCCGTGCTGGGGTCGTCCGGCTCTGACAGCCCGAGGTGGGGCGAAGAGCCGTCGCAACTGGAGGAGTTAGCTGACTTTATGGAACAGGTTTGGGAGCTTTCTCTTCTGTATACTTCAGCTTAATTTTTTCCATACACCTTGATGTTTTAAACACTTGTCCTTTCTGTGAAATTTTGCTTGGTCGCTGAGTAAGAACGGTCACTTTCTTGATTCACATGTTGGTGGGGGTCGTATGAGGACCTTAACCTTTGTTAACTTGCTGTTAACCCTGTTCAAACAATGACTTTTGAAACAGCTTACACCTATTGAGAAATATGCTCTGAATTACCTGGAATTGTTCCACACGCCTACTGGCCCCGAGAAAGAGGGGAACAGCGAGGTAAGGGCAGGCTCAGCTTTCAGAGTCAAATTTGGCCTGAAGTAAATGTGACTTGCGTGGAATTAAAGGCATAAAAACCAAACCCACCAGTGTAGAAACAGATTGAAAATGGAGCAGCTCGGTGCTTGATGGAGGGTTATGTGTTGGGGGCGGGCAGGGGTCCAGGGCACGTGGACCCGTAGCTGGGCCAGCTCGTGCCAGCCAGGGGCGGGCTGGGTCACGGCGGGTGGGGCCTGCCGCGGCCGAGTCTCAGGGCCCCTCTCCGCGGCCTTCCCGCCAGGATGCCATGCTGACTGCCGTGAGGGAGTGGGAGGCCCGGAACGCCAGGGCCCTGCAGGAGAGGGAGACGCGGGCGCTGCAGGAGCAGGAGCAGGAGCAGCTTCTCACCTACACGCGGGAGGATGCCTACAACGCGGTATGCGGGGCCCAGGATCCCGTGCGTTTCCGCGGGGCCATGCCCTTCTCCAGGTCTGACAGCCATCGTGTGATGCTTGGCCCTTGGTTGCGCATTTCTGGTCACACTTGGGCTTTTCCCCAAATGTGGTTAAATGGTGGTGTAGGTACTTTGAAGACCTACGAAGCACACAGGTAGATAGCTGGTGCATCTGAGGTGGTGCCGCACTGAAACGCTGCCCTTCCCCTGCAGGAGTATGTGTGTGAAGGTGCCGACGGGCAGATGGAAGTCATGCCGGTGAGCGCCCGTCTCCCTGAGTGTAGGGGTGGCTGCCCTCCCCGCGGCACACAGCTCACAGCTCTCCCTTCACGCAGCTCTGGACGCCGCCCACGCCCCCCCAGGATGACAACGACATCTACGTGGACCCGGTCCTGTGTCTCACGTACGAAACCACGCCCATCCCAGAGTCCAAGCTGCCTCCCGTGTATGTGAGGAAGGAGCGCAGGCGGCACCGCACGGACCCCTCAGGTGCGCACCCTGCGGCCAGGCTTGCGTGTCCCCTCGCTTTGTGGTCACGCACAGGGGGGAAGCTTTGGGCTTACGGTCTGCTTGGCATCAAAGCAGGCGAGTAGGTGTGTGTCCACTGAGGCTCCTTGGTGACAGGCCTCCTCAGGTGCCGTCGTCCTTGTTTCCTCGCTCTCGAAGGCAGGGTCCTCATTTGTTGACAGCCTCGCTGAGAAGGGCTCTCTGTCCAGTTGCAGGCAGAAAGAAGAAGCAACGTCACGGGGAGCCGGTCGTCCCTCCTCGCTCGCTGTTTGACCGCGCAACACCCGGCATGTTGAAAATGCGACGGGAGGGGAAGGAGCAGAAGAAGAACATTCTGTTGAAGCAGCAAACCCAGTTTGCCAAGCCTTTGCCGACTTTTGCCAAACCAACGGCCGAGTCAGGCCCAGACAACCCTGAGTGGCTCATCAGCGAGGACTGGGCGCTGCTGCAGGTGAGCACGGCCCCCAGTCCACGTCCTGTGGTCTCAATCCTCGGGAGAGCGTGTGCACCTGCGGGTGCAGCTCGTTGACCCGTGGTACCTGAAACCCGGTCCCACAGGCCGTGAAGCAGCTCCTGGAACTGCCTCTGAACCTCACCATTGTGTCCCCGGCCCACACGCCCAACTGGGACCTCGTCAGTGACGTTGTCAACTCCTGCAGCCGCATCTACCGCTCTTCCAAGCAGTGCCGGAGCCGCTATGAGAACGTGCTCATTCCCAGGGAGGAGGGGAAGGTGAGGGCAGACCCCTTCCACTCGCGCGAACGCGGAACTCCAGCCCCCGGGTCTGGTGGAGGCTGGCGAAGTAGTGGCCCTGGGCCTGAGATCTTGCCCGACGTGCCTGGAAAATTCCGGGTGCCGTCTGGAGGCTCCCATGCCACCCGAGGGCTTGGTCCTACCTTCGTTTCTTTTTTCTTCCTTTTGTTTCTTAAGACAGCGTCGGGTGAGTGAAAGGGCCATTGTTTGGCTTCCTTGGCTTATTTGAAGAGAAATCCTGTGCCGTTGCTCTGGGCTCCTCCCGGGCCCATCGGCTGCCACGGTGCTGGGACCAGCTCTGGACCCTGGTCCCGGTTGACTGTGTGCATCACATAGGCCGAGTGCACAGAGGCTGGGTACTCGGTGTCTTTCCCAGGAAGCCCGCGGTGGCAGCAGCCTGACCCCGCGAGAGCCAGCCCTGCAGACAGGTGCATCTGCTGTGCGGTTTCCACCCGCGAGCCTCTTGTTCTTCTTAACCAACTGAGCCACCCAGGCGCCCCGCCTCTTGTTCTTCTTGATCTGAGAGGGTCTCGTTCTGTTTTCCCTCTGCTGTCTTCACTGCTTCCCTTTCTTGCCGCTCGCCCATCTGCCTGCCCTCTGGAGAATGTGCAAGTCCTGTGCACAGAAGGCGTGCATGCGTGGTGGGCTGCCGGCGTCAACAAGGGTCCCACGGAGCCTGCTGCCTGTGACAAGACGGCACAGGGCAGATGCGGCAGAAGCGCACACGCAGGGCCCAAATGCAAAAATCACTGCTTCTGTCATCATTTCTGTTTTCATGTTCCTAAAAACATTAGTCTTAAAGCATTTATTTGCTTTTTGTTTAAGAACAAAAAAAGCAAGTGTTCCTCACGCTACCACTTGTGATGCCTTTATCAGCGAGACTCCATGGAATTTTTTGTCTGGTCTGTTATGTGTTAGAAGCACGTCTAGCGACAGCCATGACATTAATGTAGAAAAACATGAAGCTGAAGCTCTGTGTTCCGTTATAGCTCAGTGAGAAGCTAATCTAGAGAGAAAGGCAGAAAGGCATTTATTAGATATGAGGGGGACGCTGTGGATAAGTCAGCAAGCAGCCAGGCAGAAGGCCCCGTGATGGGGTCAGAACCAGCGGGAGGCTGGTGTTTGCAGACACGTGCTGGCAGCCACGTGTGGGGTGGGACAGGGCAGGAGCCCCCTCCCCGCCGACCACGATCTGGGCTCACCGTCGGGCAGTCGTGTGACTTACCTGCTCTTATTCTTGCTGTTTTCCTCCTTTACTTTTCTGGGCCACGGGAGTGCTCACAGACGCGGTCCCCGACCAGGGCCCGCCTGTGCTGGTCTTGTCGTTGTGAGTCTTCTCTGACGTGGCTGTCCTTGATAGGAAGTCTTCACTTAGTACAGACGCTGTAGGAAGTCGTGTACGCATGGCCCTCCCGTGCACGGTTCCTACTGTGGAGCAGTTTCCATGCTGCACGCTGTGTTCGAGTCCCAGTTACAGGGCAGTCAGAGCCTGGAGGTGCAGGGGAGGGTCCCGGGGAGCCCTGTGGCCCAGCCGGGATTTGGTTGCTAACAAGCACGCTGGCTTTTACACACACAGCGTCATGAGACTGGAGTGTTCTCTCTGAGGTTCTGTGGGGCACTGAGGTGTCTTGGGAGCGAGCAGGTGCTTGGCTCAGCTGTAGGATTTAGGCCAGAGAGATTACCCGGCACAGGTAATGCCGTGAAGCCCCGAGAACAAACTCCCAGCCATGCAGCGCCTCTCCCCTTCCCTGTGCCCTGTGGGCGGAGGCCCGTGGGAGGGCGGCCGCTGCTTGCTTCCCGGGGTCTGTCGCCGACGGAGGTGCGCTGGCTCAGCCTCACTGCCATATGACCTTGGGCACTTTGCCCAGTGGTCCTCTTTCCCTGCGCAGGCAGGGAGTCGTCCTGCTCTGGGTAATCACAGGGCTCACGTGAGGTGGCGTGTGGAGAGGAGCAGTGTCTGCAGGCGGTGGGCAGCAGGGACGTCGAGCCTCGGGAGGAAGTAACCAGGTTCAGTCTGGGAGGTTTGAGGTCAGGCTTGCACACGAGCCGCCGTCTGACTGACTTGCTGCCTTGGGTTTTGTCTCAGAGTAAGAACAACCGGCCCCTGCGCACAGGCCAGATGTACGCCCAGGACGAGAACGCCACGCACACGCAGCTGTACACGAGCCACTTCGACCTGATGAAGATGACGGCCGGCAAGAGAAGCCCCCCCATCAAGCCTCTGTATGCTTCCCACGTCCTTCCCGCCCCTCCCCCATGACGAGCTGGCGCTGGTTCGCCGGCCGCACGGCGTGTCCGTCATGCGGCCTTCTTCGGCAGCGGTTTCTTGTCTGCTAATGGTTTTATCCTTTCCCGCACTGCAGGCTCGGCATGAATCCCTTTCAGAAGAACCCCAAGCACGCCTCCGTGTTGGCAGAAAGGTATTTCTGTATTTTCCACTATTGGAAATGATCTCATTTTAGTGTGGTCAGCGAATTGTGCAGTCTGTGCGTCCAGGCAGGGCCAGCAGGGGGCCGGCGAGGGCCACGTGTCGTTGCCGTGACGAGGGTCTATCCCTGCTTGCAGGCCACAGGGGACACGGGCGGACGTGGCGGGGCTGTGGGAGAGGCTTTGTCCTTTCTCGGCCGTGCCCACCTCTAATCTGCCATGTGTTTTATTGGTTCTGCCTTAAAATTAAATCGCGCATGGGGTGAGCATACTTGCTTTGAAGCTGAGTGAGAGCGGGAAGAGGGCCGACGAGGGGATGGGCAGGGAGACGCTGGGCGCGTGAGCAGGTGCAGTGGGCCGACTTGGGAGCTGAGTGTGGGCTGTGCGGGTGTTTGCCGCACACTTCCTGTGCTTTCGGATGTTTGCTTTATGATGAGGTGGTGGGAACCACATGTCTACATGAAGCCCGGGTGCTCGTCTGGCTCAAGCCTTCATAGATGCCCAAGGGAGGGTCTGCAGTACACCGAGGGCCCTGCTTTGTCCTTACTGCTCTCAGTGTGGCCCCCAGTGGGGCGCATCTTGTGCTGAGACCCCTGACTGCCTCTCCTGGCCACTCCGAGGTGGCCCAAGGCCTGTGCTGCCCACCCGACTCTGTGGGCCTGGACTCCGCAGGATGCTCCCTGCCTCACGGCCGTGCCCTACCACTCAGGCCTGGGACGGTCTTCCTGGACGTCTGCATGGCTCGGGCCCAGGATCCCCTCACACGTCACCTTCCCCACCTTGTGGACAGTTGCACCCTGGTCCTGTGTTTCCTTTCATAGCACGAATTGTTTTCCACATTCTTTACTTGAGTTGTGTGGTGTCGGGGTGTCTCTGGAGGTAGGGGTTCTGAATCCTGGAGTACAGAGCAGGCGATAGTGTGTGTTTGTGGATGAAATCAACAGATTGTTTCACCCAACTGGCATTTATTGGCAGGCTTCGTGCCTACCGCTCTGTTGGGTCCAGCAGTTGAGTAGCGAGCAGAAGGCCGTGTTCTTGTTTCCATATCTGCGAGACGCGAACTCAGAGTAATCTTAACAGAGGTCGAGGATCCATCCTGCAGGTGGATGGAACAGTCTGGCAGAACCCAGGGCGAGCGGGGCCTGGGGGGAGGAGACAACGGGGTGTTCCTGCTGGACACCATTCCCCCAGCGTGAGGGGATGTTGGGTTGGCCATCATGAGTTTGCAGTGTGTGGAGCCAAAGAGGAGGGCTTACAAGGCAGGTCCACAGGACAAGCACAAGGGGGCCCGGGGTTGCACCTCCCAGGTGGGGCAGCAGGCAAGCAGGGAGGCAGGTACACCGGGCGCGCCATGCAGAGGAGGCTGAGGGCCTCAGTGGGAACAGGTTCAGTGTGAAGCCCAGCTGGGGTGAGGTGGACGGAGGCTGTGAGGTGAGTGCAGGCCTGCGGCATCCTGGGGGCTCAGGTTGGTTTCTGTGTTTGGCTCAGATGGCAGGGATGGATCCCACGTGGGCTGGTGGACATGACTAGAAGGTGGGGAGACGAGGGGAGAAGAGAGCTGGGCATGTGGGTCCACAGCCGGGTGGGGACTCAGCCTTCTGCGGTCCGGGTGTCCTCTGAGGATCTCGAGGCGGCAGCCAGGGGTGAGGGTGTGAGGGTCTATGAGGAGTCAGGGGCCAGGCCGTGCACCAAGGAGGAAGAAGTGACGCCGGGTGGCCTGGGTGGGGGGCCTTGCTGTGCATGGGGTCGGCTTCTCTCTCGTCAGTGAAGACACTTGGGCCCCACGTGGAGCTGGCAGACCAGGGGAGCCTGGGTGTAGCTTTGCCAAGTGCGATGGAATGGAGGGAGCGCTGGTGCAGGAAGGCCTGGATATTCATGTGAGAGCGGGGCCGTGGTGGGGGCTCTGGGCAGACCGACGTGGTTGATGTCAGAGAATGGGTAAGAAGTCAGCCAGGCGAGCTGGGATGAGCAGTGGGGGTGGGGGGAGCTGACATGCAGCATCAGTAGATGGGAGCGGTGCCCAGGGGAGGCCCGGAAATGGGGATGGTGTGCACGAGGTTTTAAGGAAAGCCAGGCTCTCTGGTAGGAGTCAGAGCACTGGGTAGGTCACAGTAGTTTGGGGCGGCGGGGGTGGTGGTGGTGCAGGAGCAAGGGTTCTGTGAAGGGTGCGGTGGCCTGTGGGGACTTCATGGCACTGGGCTGGGAGGGGGCCCTCCCTCCTCCTGGGCTTTGCTGGTCAGCCTCTGCGCCTGGGGAGCCTGGTGGCACGGGAGGCAGCCTGGGTCCTGACATCAGTCCTTGCAGACATGGGGGCATCTGGCAGCCCGGAGTGGGACCTGGGGACACGGGGCTAACGGACAGCTTCTTGGAAGAGGACTGATGCTCCGCTGGGGAGGGAGGGGAGGCCCGGCTTGGAGCAGGTGGTCAGTTTGGTGGACTGGGTGGGAGGGGGCGGGTGGTTTGCTGTGAGTTGCACCCACACACATTTCGAGGCACCTGATATCCCAGGCACTGTCCTGGGTGCTGCTGTGGTGGACCAGGCCCAGGCCTGCTTTCTGGAAGGTTCTGTGTCGAAAGGAAATGGGAGACATGGTCTTGGACAACCTGGGCAGCTTTTGTCTTTGTGGACACAGAGATTTGATGGGAACTGCTTCCTAGCGCCTGGCACCTCGGGGGGTGAGAGCTTTGGGTTTCTGGGGTGTTCTGTGCCTCAGAGCGCGTCTGGTTATTTTTGTCTCTGCTGTTGTCTTTCAGTGGGATCAACTACGACAAGCCGCTGCCTCCCATTCAGGTCGCATCTCTCCGAGCAGAGCGAATTGCCAAAGAGAAAAAGGTGTGGGTGCCGGGCCTGGACGTGGCCGGGGTGGCGGGCGTGGCGGGCTCCTCCCCACGGCGCCTCTCCTCTCCGCCTCTGCAGGCGCTGGCCGATCAGCAGAAGGCACAGCAGCCTCCTGTCGCACAGCCCCCACCGCCCCCGCCGCAGCCGCAGCCCCCGCCGCCCCAGCAGCCGCCCCCGCCTCTGCCCCAGCCCCAGGCGGCTGGCAGCCAGCAGCCTGCGGGCCCACCAGCCGTCCAGCCGCAGGCCCAGGCGCAGGCCCAGGCACAGCCCGCACCGCCCCCGCCGAAGGTGCCCCCGGCGATCACAACGGTGGGCAGCGCGGCCGTGCTGGTGAGAAGGCCGCCCCTCCCTGGCGCGGGCACCTGTGGGCACGCGGGGCAGGGCAGGGCAGTCTGTTCAGACACAGTGCGTCTTCTGCAGAGGCAGCGGCAGCGGGCCCTGCCTCTCCCGGGTGGGAGGGAGCACGCAGAGGGGCGCCTCACCATACTCTGCCTGCTCCGGGCTCTGGCCGGCCGGGTCGGTTAGTGGCGGTTTGGGCGGTGGAGGCGCCCAGGGAGTTTGGAGTTCGGTGGGATTTGTGAGGTGTCGTTGTCACGTCACCCTGCAGAGTGAGTACCGTTTGCACCAGCGTGCGAGCTTCCCTCACGGCTGGTGTGTGCGTGCTCTTGCACACGTGTGTGCATGAATCTTCAGTGCCCGTTGGAGAAGGCGGTAAACCGAGCACACAGAAAAGGGGCAGAAAGGCAGACTTGTGACGTCACGCGGTCTGTGCTGCATGTGCCTGGGTCCGTGTGACACGGACCTCGGAGCCCCCCCGTGGGGAGGATGCCTGGGGACTGCAAGGGGAAGCCTGCTGCCTTGCACTGCCAGCCGGGCGGGGGCGTGGTCTGTCCTCACTTGCGGTTCCGTCTGCCGCAGCAGGTTGGCCGTGGGGCCTGGGCAGCCTGGCTCTGCAGTCAGAAAGCCGCTCCCTCAGCCCCTGCTTCCGTGGCCCCGAGGGCACCGTGGTGGACGGCCAGGGAGGGACTCTGCGTGGAGCCCTGTCGCCCCGGGCGGCAGCCTGAGTACGGGAGTCTGTGGGCAGAGAACAGGCCACAGCGAGCACAGGGGCCCCAAGCCTGGCAGTGGGGGGCTCAGGAGAGCCTGTGCGGGGGCATGGGGGCGGGGGTCGGCCCATGCGGCCGCGTAGCCAGGCGCGGGTGTGGATGTGACTCTGATGAAGTGGGAACACTTGGAGGTTTTGTGAAGAGGAGAGCTTGCGCTCCAATTCCTATGGTTTTGTGTGTTCAGCAGGCCGGAGCCATGAAAACGTCCGTCCCGGGGACGAGCATGCCGACGGGTAAGAAGCCTGAGATGCCCCCCGTCCGAAGCCGTGCTTCCCCCGGGCTCCTGCCTCACAGCTCTCTCCCCGTAGGCACGGTGGGCGGAAACGTCATCGTGAACACCATTGCAGGGGTCCCCGCCGCCACCTTCCAGTCCATTAACAAGCGCCTCGCTTCGCCCGTGGCGCCGGGAGCCTTGACCGTGAGTTGTCCCTGCTCCTGTGACCTAGGGCCCTGTGAGAGTCGTTTGTCTGGTGTTTGGGTTTTTGTTTTGTTTCGTTTTTAGGTTGTTTAGTCTTGACACCCAACGTGGGGCTTGAGCTCATGATCCTAAGATCAAGAGTTGTGTGCTCCCCCAAACGAGCCTCCCAGGTGCCCTGAAAGTTGTTTGCTTTGTAAAGAAATACCCCAGCAGTGCTGAGAGTAGTGACACAGGCTGAATTTTGTAAGACACCGTGAACGTTCAGGAGTTCAGGAAATGGCTTGCACGGTGCGCTTGTGAGGGCATATGCGTTGAGACCCCTACCCATGGCAGTTCTCAGAGGAGGAAGGCAGGGTGTGAGGGGTGTCGCTGCCTGCATGGCTGGGTGCTGCACGTGCCGCATGACAGGTTTGCTTGTGGGGGACACGGGGATGCAGAGATGGGCGCCCTCGGGGGGGCACCGCACGGGTGGCATGGCATCCACAGGGGCGGGGGTGCTGCTGTTGCGTGCATTGCCAGAGCGCGCGGGGGCCGGGTGAGGCGCGTCCAGACCCGTGTGTGGGAAGCAGGGAGGTGCCAAACCTGGGCAGAGCCATCTGACCCTCTGAGCGCAGACCCAGAGGAGACCTTGCACTCATTGAAAGGCGCACCCCGTGTCCAGCCACCTTGTCTTCGGTGTTCCCCATAAATGACAAAAACAAACAGCTAAGGTCGAGGAGATGAAACGTACGTCTCCTTTTCCAGTTTAGTTACGTATCTGGAGGCAACGTGTGCCGTGTGTTGCTCCCTGCTGGGTTCTGGAAAGTGTCTTTTCTACAAAGGTGTTGTTGTAGTAATTGAGACAGGGTGGCATTGGCAAGAGGACGGGCACAGCTCCATGGAATAGGGTCCAAGGTCCAGCAGTAAACCCCCCGGGCATGTAGTTAGCTGACTTCCATTAAGAGTGCTGAAGGAGTGCCAGGAGGAGGGATCGTCTTCCAACAAGTGGTGCTGGAAGGAGAACGTTGCCACACGTGGGACTGGGAACTGTGGTCTGTAACCGGCACTGGGTATGAAGAGTCCCTCAAGATGGATCGTAGACCTAAGTGTAAAACCCAGAACTACAGGACTTTTAGAAGAAAATCACAGTAGAACATCTTTGCTTCCTTGGTTCAGGCAGAGATTTTCTAGGATCCCAAAGCCCTTGAATCGTGAATGAAAAATTGGTAAGTTTGTTTTCATCAAAATCAATGACATCTGCTGTTTGAAAAATAGGAAGAAAATGGAAAGCATGGAACATATTTGTAGGATACATGTGACAAAGGCCCGGTTTGCAGATTCATTGAGGATTCTTTAATAATAGGAAAACGTTATAAAACACGGACAAAAGATTTGCGCAGTTACTTCACCGGAGAAGCGATAGGGATGGCAAACAAATGTGAAAAGGTGTTCAATGTTATTAGTCATCGGGGAATCCTGTGAAAACCACAGTGAGATGGGGCTCCTGGGGGCTCAGTCACTTGAGTGTCCGACTCTTGGTTTTAGCTCAGATTGTGATCTCAGGGTCGTGGGATCTGGCTCCGCGCTGGGCGTGGTGCCTGCTTCAGATTCTCTCCCTCTGCCCCTGCCCCCCCTAAAAAAAAAAAACAGACAAAAGACCCACAGTGAGAAGCTACCATGTATATCTGGGAGCGGCTTTAGAAGCAGAAGCGTGGCCGTGGCGGACGCCGGCAACGAGGCAGCATGGCTGGAGCCCACGTTGCTGACGGCTCGCAAAATCTTAGAGTCGCGTGGGAAATCGGCCACTTCTGATAAATGTACACTTACTGGACAACCTCGCACTTCCACGACGGGTTTTCCCCCAAGGGAAGTAAAAACATACATCTGCACAAGAAAACAACGTGAGTGTGCCTAGTGGTTTTATTTACAGTTACTAAGAAAGGAAAGAACCCAGAGGGCCTTCCGCGGCCACGTGGACACCGTCTAGGACTGCCCAGCTCCACAAGAGATTGAGCTGCTGGGCTGAGCAACAGGGTGGGCGACTCTCGGACACACTTGGCCGTGATGAGAGTTTCAGGAGGCTTGTATGCTGCATGATTCCGTTTAATGTGGAAAAGGCAGGGTCATGAGGGCAGGAGACGGGTCCAGCCTGTACCTGGGTCGTGGCGTCTACCTGGCCGTCTGCATTCGTGAGCATTCATGGTCCGGATCCTGAAGGGGGTGGATCGTACTGTATGTAAATTATACTTTAATGAATCTGGCTTTAAAAATTGGAATATTCCCAGGTAATAACAGCATATATGAGAAGTTTTTCTAGTGTGTGACGTAGGATTATTTTTCTTTATACTTTGCAATAAACCACTTTTGATTCAGTCGTCTTAATACATAACAACAGCTCTTAGGTAGGCCTGTGACGCTCAAACATTCTCGGTGACCGACATCATTCCTCAGGTGAGAGTGAAATGCCCAAATCATTGCACGTGATGTTTTATTTTGAAAAAGACCTATTTCTGTGTATGATATTTTTGGAAGATAAAGTAACTCATCCATAATGTGTCTTTTGAGTAGCTCTTAAAGACAAGATACTCTAGGTGGTGTGATGTGGGACTAGAAACTGGACTCAGACACTCAGCTGGCTTCCCCAGGGCTCTTGTAGTCCTGGGGCTGGACTGGGAGAGGGGTCCAGTGACAGGGCGGGCTTTCAGGGCTTCCGAAGGACAGGACGACGTCATCCACACACAGCTCTTTGGTGTTGGGAAGGGTGTGGGCTGTACAAGGCACAGGTGAGCAGGCCTCTTTAGGGAGGCATAGACAAATGTGTTAGCAAAGTAGCAGTGGTTCCTGCACCTGCCAGGAGGCTCTGCATGCCTGTGTGTGCTTGACACCAGGAGATGCCGAGGCTAGCTGGTCGTAGAGTTCGGGTATCCAGCTAAAGAGGATGGATTTTGTTTGCTAGGCAGCTGGGAGCCCTTGATAGTCTCTGAGTGGTTTCAAGCAGAAAAGGGCAGAGTGAAAACCATTTTGGAAGTCCAGGAACAGATTTCTGTTTCTGATAATAAGGTGAGGTTAGTTATGCTACTTTCTTAATGAACCAAACTAAAATTATTGGGTAAGAAAATTTTTAACCTTAAAAGTTTTAAGGAGCTGACAAAAGAATACATAAAGATTAGGGCAAAATCTAAGGGAAGAAACCCAGAGAGAAAAACGGTGCACTGAGGCGGGGTCTGCCCTGGAGCACCTTTTACCTCATCTGGTGGGAGACTCCAGTGCGAGCCTGAGGCTCGAGCTGGGAGCCCCGCAGCTGAGCCCTTGGGGCGGGGCTGAAGCAGCAGGGAAACCCGCCTGCCCTCCACCCTGGCGCTGAGCGGAGGGGACTGACTCCCCCTACAAAGCTGTAGCCGCACATCGGCCGTCTGTCAGTTTGCAGCTAGAGCACGCAAAGCCTCGCGTGGGCGGTGTTCCCGGGTGGGCGGCCAGAAGCAGGTACGGCTGCTCTGGAGGAGCTCGCCCTCGACCTGGACTCCTTAGAGCCGCCACAAGTGGTTTTCCAGCGTGGTGAGCAGCACAGAGCAGAAAAAACCAAACAAGGGAGGGAAGAGTGACACCACCCTGCCTCCACTTGGGGTAGTGGAGTCCGTGGGCACAGAACGTAAAGCAGCTGTGCTTTTCCATTTTTGTTTACTTTTAAGAAGTCTCCACACCAGTGTGGAGCCCAGCGCAGGGCTCGAACTCACAACCCCAAGACCAGGAGCCGCACGATCCTCCCACTTGCGTGCCAGGTGCCCTCCTTACGGTTTTCCTAACATTTTTTTTTGTCTGGCTGAACTCACTGTAAGAATGCAGCGTATGACGCACATGACATACAAAGTGTGTGTGTTCATCGACTGTGTCGTCAGTAGGGCCTCTCCGGCCAACAGTCGGCTGTTAGCGGTTAAGTTCTGGTCAAGAGACTTGTACTTGGATTTCCAACTGTGCAGGGGGTTTGGCGCCTGTAACCCCCACATGGTTCAAGGGTCGGCCATAGAGAACTTCTGAAAAATGAAAACTATGGTTATCAGAATTGGAAAACATCCCTGGTACTGAGCATCCGTTGACACACCATTGAGGAGAGAATTGATGAACCGGAAGAGAAGTCAGGAGACATTTTCCCGAATGCAGCGAGGGGCGACCGCAGGGGCCGCACGGAAGAGCGCTGTGAGGTCACGGAGGGCTGACTGGGACGATGGAGTGTGGGGTTACTGAGTTCGGGTGGGGGGAGGGGCGCAAAGGCAGTGTTGGAAGATGTGAGTTTTCCAGAACTGAGCAGTGACACTGAGCCGTGTATACATCAGCCTCCACTGAGCCCAATCCCAGACGGTGCCAACAGCAGAGAGGTCTGAGAGCAGCCGGGGGGGCACGGCAGCTTCCTTCTCGGGGGCGGTGAAGCCAGGAGCCCCTGGAACGGCATCTGTGCTGAATGAAGGCAAATCACTGCTGACCCTGCTCCGCCTCTTTTGGAAATAGCTTGAAGAACACGGGTACGTGGGTACAAAGGAACACTTCTAAGCAAACATGGGGCGGGCTAACGGCAGCTGGGTCCGTGCGAAAGGACACGCTTGAGGCAGAAGGTCTGAGAAGTGAGCACAGAGGCAGTGACGGTGGACAGTCAAGGTGGAGACTGACCTCACAGCAGCTACAAGGGGCTCCCCGCAGGGCCGACAGCAGGAATGCGCCACACAGAGTCAGTGGCGTGTAAGCCAGCCAACGGCCACTATGCGGAGACGCTCTGGACTCTTGTTCAGGAAAAGTGTGAGACTTTGACAAGTACTAATGGTATAATGTTTTTTAAATTATTTGAGAAGGAGCGCACGCGTACGCACGAGAAGGGGGAGCGGCAGGCAGAGGTAGAGGGAGAAGCAGACTCCCCACTGAGCGGGGAGCCCGATGCGGGGCTCGATCCCAGGACCCTGGGACCATGACCTGAGCTGAAGGCAGACGCTTAACGACTGAGCCACCCAGGCGCCTCTCATGGTATAATTTTTAGATGAGCCACGAAAAGCGTAAAAAGAGTGTAGCTTCCAAACTTTGGGAGGGAAAAGTGAGGTGAGAAAGAAAATGCTGTGAATGGAAGCAGGAAAGGCGATTGAAGACACGTGGAGCCAGAGGGTTGAATAGAAAGCACAGAGTGCGATGCTGGAGTTGGCTGGCCGCGGGAGCAGGGATGCTCAGAAGGGCTGGGGGTGAACCCCGCAGTCTGGAAGAACGTCCCGGCCGCTCGCAGGGAGGGGCCGGCCGAGGCAGGTGGCGCGTGCACCAGCCCTCTCGGAGGTGGAACCGGTGGGGTCCACAGTTGGAGTGGGACGGTGCGGCTGTAGCTCTGAGGGTCGGTGTGGGGCGTGGGGGGCAGCGGGGCTGCTCTGAGACGCCACGAGGCCTGTGCAGGCGGGAGAAGGGGCGGTGGCCAAGAGCGGAACCCTACACTGTGTGTTTAGGGGGCAAGCCCAGGTGTCTGCAGCGTAGTCAGAACCTCACGGTGTTCCTGGGGCCCAGACCGCCTTTCTCGTGAGGACAGAGGGGCAGGGCAGCGTTTCAGAACGGGAATAGGAGCGTTGCCATCTGAAACGGTTTTCTTCTGTGGTGACTGACCCACTCTGAAGCTCTTCCTTTCCTTGGGTTCAGATATGTGTGTCCTCTTAGCCGGTGCATGTGGAAGCCTTGAAGGATGGCGCGGAGTAACCTGACGACTTCCCCCGTTGCCTCTTGCAGACCTCTGGAGGCTCTGCTCCTGCCCAGGTGGTCCACACCCAGCCTCGCGCGGTTGGCTCGCCGGCCACGGCCACGTCCGACCTCGTGTCCCTGGCACCGACCCAGGGCGTTCGCGCGGTTACCTCCGTGACAGCCTCGGCCGTGGTCACTACCAGCCTGACCCCAGTGCAGACTCCGACCCGGTCTTTGGTGACTCAGGTGTCCCAAGGTAAAGGCAGGTGTTGTTTCCGGGTGAGGACACGGGCATGTGTCTGTCGTGGGAGGACGGGCGGGCCATGTGCGTGCGCAGCATGACGGCGCCCCCTCTCCCAGCCACAGGGGTGCAGCTGCCCGGGAAGGCTATCACGCCCGCACACTTTCAGCTGCTCCGGCAGCAGCCGCCGCCGCCACCGCCGCCGCCGCCCTCTCAGGTGCAGGTTCCGCAGATCCAGGGCCAGGCCCCATCGCCGGCACAGATGAAGGCCGTCGGCAAGCTGACCCCGGTGAGTACGTCATAGGAAACCGCACACCCGCTGCGCGAGGCCCCGTGTGTCACTTACTTGGAAGCACAGGTCTGCTGCTTGTGCTGCCCGTAAACACAGCTTTCCGCACGGTGGTATGTCCGTGGCCGCGTGGCCAGCCTGTTGGCAGTGCTCTGGAGGCCTGTCTTCCCGCTTGCTGTCTGGTGCCCTGTGCAGTAGCTCAGGCTCCGGAGAAGCAGGCGGCTGCTTGGGTCCATTCCCAGCCGGAGAGCATGGCGGCGGGAAGTGTTGCGGACAGTCTCAGAGATGCGGTGCTGGGTACTTGGTTTCTTCATGCGTAGTTCCTTTGCGGGGTTGAGTACTGATCACCCTGTGCATCGGCCATGCAGCTGCGCGTGTAAATGCATTCGTTTTGAAAGGAAGCGCTGTATTCCTGCCAAGACGGAGACGTGCTCTTGCTTGGCATGGAGAAACATGTACTAGAAACAAGACAGTATCTTAGAACTGCAGCTAGTTGCCGGGCCTGCCACAGTAAGTACCTGACCTTGGGCCTGCCCCTTCCCGGTTACGGAGGGACAGGCGGGCATGCTGGAGGGCTGTGGAGTACGTGCAAGCCCTGAGCCGTGGCTCCGCTAGTGCGGCCCCAGGACGTGCGCCACAGAGAGGAAATGCAACCAAGTAAGCCGTTGAGCTCCTCAGTCACGCCCACCCCATTTCAGGGGTGCAGCGGGTGTGTGTGGCTGTGGCTAGCATACTGGACAGCCCAGATCTAGAACGTGCCCGTCACCACGGGAGGCTGGGGGATGGCGCTAAATTATTAGAAAGTTGCTGGGCCCAGCCCCCCCCCCGACGCCTGCCCCTCTGCCCCCCGCGGCCTTTCCTTCTCCCCTTCCTGCTTCTCCCCAGGACACGAGGGCCAGCCTGTACCCCTGCACTCCCTCCTTCGGCTGCCAGAGCCCCGCTTACCTGCTCGTTTGCCTGTGTCTGAATTCTCCACTCTGCCCTGTCCTGAGTCAATTTCAGAGTCATTGTCATTTTCAGATAGTTACAAACTACACAGTAGAAGTTTTCTAAAAAGAAAATTGATTTCTTAAAATATTTTTTGGGCTATTTTGACATCTTGTTTTCACTTCTTTTAAAGACTTGGGATTCATTTATCAATTTATTCATTTGCAAACAATTGGAATAAAAAGTTGAGAGGTGATACACATCTTACAATTTTAAAAAATTCAAGAAGGACCATGATTTTAAGACTTTATAAAAATTTTATAGCAGTACAGGTTTAAGTTGACGTATTTGCAAGTGAGAAAAACCGAGAAATTTTGCTATGAGTTTACTCATCTGTCAGAATCACTGTTTCTGGTTATCATCAATGATATGCGAGTTGTTAACAAAGGAACATTTAAAAAATGTTAGCCCCTGGAGGATGGTTTGCATATTGTGTGTTACCCACTGTCTACCTTGGTGTTTAATGGATAGTACAACAGTAACTTAAAACCAAGATTTATAACAAATGGAATGCAGTTAATATTGATGAAAAGCTACTTTATCTGGGTTTTAGGAACATCTGATCAAAATGCAGAAGCAGAAACTGCAGCTGCCCCAGCAGGCCCCCCCACCGCAGGCCCCGCCAGGGCCCCCACAGCCCGCTACACAAGTGCAAGTGCAGGCCCCGCCACCCACGCCGCAGCAGAGCCCCCAGCTGGCCACGGTCACGGCCCCGCGGCCCGGAGCCCTGCTCACGGGCACCACCGTGGCCAACCTCCAGGTGGCCCGGCTCGTAAGTTCCAGTTGATACGTTTGTTTTTCCAAAGCTGTGTCTTTTAACATTTAATTGCACTGTTACTGCTTGCTGAGGACCATGTCAGGTGTGCTGGCGGACCTACTAGTAAAGTAGAAGACGTGCGCTTTCCCTCAAGAGCTTAAGTTGTCCTCGGAGAGGATGAAATACAACCCATGGAGGCACTTAAGTCATCGTACTTCCCAGGCCCTGAGCATCACAGAGCTCACGGCAGGCTGGGCTGCTGGAGGAGGCGGGGGGCACACTGGGCTACACAGGGAGGGCGAGGTTTCCATTGGGGACGAGGCCCATGTGGTTGGAGCCGAGGTTACGGGGGGAATGAGACCCATGTGGGGAGGTGGTCGAGGCCGGAACACCGGGCTCTGGTGTCCCTGGGCTTTGTCAGCACAGACTCTGGAGGTTTCTGAAGAGGAGCAGAATGTCACGGTGAAAAGAGTGTCTTGGAAGATCAGTTAAGTTCAACAAACATCCATCGAACGTCCTGTGGGACGGACACTGTCCCATCAGGCACGCTACTGCCCTGCTGGGGGAGCACCCATCCCGGGCCAGGCACCACCCTCGGCTCTGTACCTCTCACGTGGTCAGTGCCCACAGACCTCTGCCGAGGCCGGGGTGGATGTTTTAACATGAACTCCTCTGTGCAGGTGGCAGAAACTGAGGCCCTCAGCTTCAGTAAGAAACTTATCCAAGTCCGATAGCTCGTCACCCACAACTCACATGGTGCTCAGGCCCCGCTTCGCGCGTGCCTCCCCCTGACTTTACGTCTGCGAGAAGTGGGGTAGACGTGGACTAAAACTGGGAAAGCACATGTGATCTCGCCTGTGTTCACAAGAAAAGCAAATTCAGAGGAGAAGGGCGGTGACCCCGCGAGCCGGCCAGGGCATGGGGAAGGCACGCTCCACGCAGGACTGGCCAGATGGGTCGGCTTCCGCTCTGGGAGGGCTTCTCGTCACCGAGCTACAGAGTGTGCTCACCGTTTACCTAGCGGTCCTGTTTCTGTTCTCGTGGAAAGTAGTAGTGGAGTGAGTACAACGTGACGGACGCGCAGTCTTGCTGCTTGAGTCGCGTTAGAGGAGACAGGTCCCCGTTAACTAGGGAGTTCACTGCACAGTGGCGAGCATCCCCACGTTGGGGTAGTACGCGACTTTGGAAAGGATTTGTTGTAAAAGGCAGACAGACTACAAAGTACTTGTAAGTTGGCCCATTTTGCACACTTCCACAGCAAGCCACGCAGGTAAGAACAGCATCTGATGGGCCGAATATTGGCTTTCACGTTCAGATGTGGGTAGTTTTAGGGCTAGGGGTGCTTTTTACTTCTTTATGTTTTCTCAGGTAGTCTGAGTGCTTGTGCAGGTAAGACACATCTGTGGTCCTTTCTGAAGATGTCACTTCGGGGAACGAGCGCTTGGGGGCAGCGTGGAGACCGAGTAGCCGGAGGCGTGTCCGCAGGCGGGCTCTCTGGGAGGGGGGGTTGGTGGGCCGACCTACAGTAGTAGCCGCAGGCATGGGAGACGAGGGTCTACAGGAGTCGGGGCAGGATGGGGCTCCCCTGAGGTTCAGGAGCCGGAAGGAGGAGCGGCAGAGACCGGTGCCACGTGGCAGGGCCTGAACCCCAGAGTGAGTGAGCAGCTGTGGGTCCCAGCATTGGTCGGTGATGGGGTAGGAAGCATAGAGCTGCGGCCCTCAGTGAAATGTGTCCCTTCAGCTGACAGCCACTTGTCACCTTTGTGGATCTGTAAATTTCTCACCACTTGACCTTTTGTGGGGAAATGTTTGCAAAGACACATGGTATCCCGAATATCTCTGGACTCTCCCGTTATTTTCACTGTTTAGACCCGGGTTCCCCCTTCGCAGCTGCAGGCGCAAGGGCAGATGCAGGCTCAGGCACCCCAGCCCGCTCAGGTGGCGCTGGCGAAGCCTCCCGTGGTGTCCGTGCCCGCGGCCGTGGTCTCCTCGCCAGGTGTGACGACCCTGCCCATGAATGTCGCCGGGATCAGCGTGGCCATCGGGCAGCCACAGAAAGCCGCAGGTACCTCACGGGCAGCGCCCCCCCCCCCCCCCCGAGGGCCTCGAGCGGGGCTGACGGGTCTTCTGGCTTCTGTGCGGACACCCGTTTCGAGTGTGTCAGGGCATCGTCTGGCCAGCGTGTCTCTCAGAGGCGCCCAAGTATGAGTTTCAGCCCTTGACCTCACCTGTTACCGTTCAGAACTTTGCACCTTTATTTGGATGTCGTTGTGGGTCCACAGACATTTTAAGTGTAGCTGTGGGGCGGCTGTTCTGTGTTGGCCCAGTTCAGCATGGGGTGTTCTGTCTGAAAGCGGTCAGTGGGGACACCTCGGTGGCTCGGGGAGTTGGAGGGAGCTTCAGGGAGGTCGTGGGGCCCCTGTGCCGCTGAGCTCTGTGACTGAAGCCTCGGCTGTGTTCACAGGACAGACCGTCGTGGCCCAGCCCGTGCATGTCCAGCAGCTGCTGAAGCTCAAGCAGCAGGCCGTGCAGCAGCAGAAGGCCATCCAGCCACAGGCTGCCCCGGGCCCAGCGGCCGTCCAGCAGAAGGTATCGGCTTCCTGCGGGGGACTCTCCCGTCGTCCTGTCTGGACGCTGGGCACAGGGTGCATGGACAACAGGGGTGCCCCGCGCGGACCTCGCCTCGCTGCCCGGCAGCCACGCGCACAGAAGACCTGTGCTCAGAGGTCTCGGGGTGGGAGCTGCGATGAGGCCCTGCAGGGAGTAGGTGATGACGGGAGCCTGGGGGGAGCCGTGAAGCTGGCTGTGGAATCGCATGGCTGGGGAGGGGCCGGAGGGGCCCAGGGTGCAGGTGTGGCTCACCGTGCGTGACTGCCTGGGCTCCTGGTGTGCAGAGGGCATGGGACCTAGCCAGGAGCCAGGCGGGGACCACGTCCTTGCCCCTGTGTGTGCCTCTGGGGGAGGGACCTGATGTGAAGGAGTCCTGTCAGCGTCTTCACCGACTTAGACGTGTGAGAATCGCTCTGAGCTGATGCAGGTGCCCAGGCTGAGCCGTCCGTAGGCCGGTGTGTTGAGGCCATGCCCCGTGCAGGCATTGCACTGACCTGCTCTGTGTGCTTCCTGTTAGTGTGCAGCCCAGGGTGCAGATGATGATGTTTTGGTGCTTCACTGGGCGTTGTCCCTGCTGCTTTCTGAGCTGGAGCTAGAATACATGGGCCGAGGGCGGGGCAGCTGGAGCTCCCCGCGTGGGCTGACAGCTCTGCGGGCACCTGGAGCCAGCGTTCGGAGCAGGGCCGCACGTTACTTTGAGGAAACTGAGCCTCAGAGAAAGGAAGCGGCTTGCCCTGAGTTGCGGAACTGATCGCCGGGTGCGGGGCCCTGCACGAGTCCTGCTCCTCTGCTGGGCAGCTCTTCCCGGAGCGTCACTGCTCCCACTGGCAGGAGCCCAGCTCTGATCTGGTCGGGGCTGAGATGCTGCCCGTCCAGGTGCCGCTGTGGTTTGTGGGGACAGCAGAGCAGAGTCGGAAGTCGAGCGGTCCTCGGCAGCCTTGGGTGAGGTGACGAGCTAGGAGGGCATGGCAGCAGGGAGGGGCCGCACCGGCTGGGCGTCTCCCAGGGGCACCGGGCTGTCGGTGGAGCGGCACGAGAAGGGCCCCAGGGAAGAGCTGCCCCGGCAGCAGCCCACCGTGCCGGGTGCGTGCCCTTCGACAGCCTCCTCTGCCGTCTGGGGAGAGCCGGGGCCTGGAAGCAGGGTTGTCTGCTCTGACGGGAGAGAGCACACCTGCCTCCGGGCGCTGTCTGCTGCCCGCTGCTGACCAGTTCCGCGAGGGGCGCCACTCAGTCACCTCCTCAGTCCGCTCCCGCCATCCCTGGGCCGAGCTGCTCAGGCCTGGGCCCCGCTGGAGGCACTGATGGCGGGAGGACCAGGGCCCCGGCAGTTGGGCCTGGGTAACCGAGTAGGCTGGGCTGGCTGCTGAGCGAGAGGTGGTTGTAGCCTTGGTCTGATGTTCTCGTGAGTTGAAAGAAAAGTTCTGAGACATTGGAGAAATGTTTGTGTGCAGCCGTGGCTTTGTAAACCACAGACTGTGTGTGTGCACGGTCTTCTGAGCAGGATTCACATTGTTCTGGCAGAGAAAACTTAGAAATTAATCAGGCAAAGATCGTGCATATAGCTTTGTTATCCCTTGTGCTAAATATTTTATTTTTTTAATTATTTTTTTAAGATTTTATTTATTTGACAAAGAGGTAGCGAGAGAGGGAATACAAGCAGGGGGAGTGGGAGAGGGAGAAGCAGGCTTCCCGCTGAGCAGGGAGCCCGATGCGGGGCTCGATCCCAGGACCCTGGGACCGTGACCTGAGCCGAAGGCAGACGCTTAACGACTGAGCCACCCAGGCGCCCGTGTGCTAAATATTTTAGAGTATGTTCTCAAACCTTCAGATTAGATTCAGGAAAGCGTATGTGCATGTGTTTTTTGTCGTGGTCAAGTTTACTCACATGATGAGCACACAGAGGATGTAAAGACAAACTCCGGCCTGGTCTCTGAGGGGACTTCTGGACAGAGGAGGCTGGGCATGCCGGCCGGGCAGCTGCAGGACTGGGCGGAAGGCAGGCAGTGCTGGGGGCGTGGGGCGGTCGTGCTGTGGCTGTTGGGGCACTGGGGGCCCACGGGGAGGCCCTGATGTTCTGAGGAGAGGACACAGCCTCGCCTGGCTCTAACATGGGGCGGTCTCTCTTCCTTCATTCAGATCACCGCACAGCAGATTGCTGCTCAGGGCCAACCACAGAAGGTCACCTATGCCACCCAGCCAGCCCTTAAAACCCAGTTCCTTACCACACCCATCTCCCAGGCCCAGAAACTGGCTGGGACCCAGCAGGTGCAGACCCAGATCCAGGTGAGCATGAGTGAGCGCAAGGTGGCTCACAGGACAACAGGTGCCCAGGAAAGTGAGTGGTCAACGTACAGGGTCCAGAGAATAAGGCAACCAGCACCCTGTTACGGAGTGTCAGGGACCCTCCTCTGCTCCTCAGGCCCCCTGACGCTGCTCGCTGACTTTGCCGCCTCTGGGGTCGGGGAGTGTGGCTTGGGGGCCATGCCGAGGTCACGCTCCGGGGGTGGTTCTTCACATCTCGGGGGTTCCTCCCAGAGTCAGCGAGTCAGCACTCTCCATTGCTCTGCTGCCGACGGCCGAGGGGGCTGCTCCTGGCCTGTGGCTGCTTACGGAGGGTGGAGGGAGCAGCGGGGGACCGAGCTCAGCAGCCGTGTGACGGCTTCTGTGTGTGGGCGCCGCACGTGGCTGCCTGGGGTCGGGAAGCCGCGCTGTGGGTGTGTGCACGTCTGTCAGGCTTCTGCAGCGGTCCCAGCCCCGCAAGCCTCCGCTCAACCTCGCTCTGCCCCTGTGTCTCTGCCGTTCGTGACTCTGTTAACAGTCGGGGCCCCCCTTCTGCCGAGTGCCGGCTACGTGTCGACCCGGCACTGTCCCCTTTCTGCTGTGAGCCTTCAGGTGTCCATCCTGTTCGTGGCTCATCTTCGCACTTAACTGTACGGTGTCTTTGCAGGAACAGAAGTTCTTAGTTTTAACGTGTTGGAATTTATCAGTTTTTCTGTTTCTGAACAGCGCCTTGTGTGTCTTTCTTTTTTTTAAAGATTTTATTTATTTATTGACAGAAAGAGAGGGAGCGAGAAACAGAGCACAAGCAGGGGGAGATGCAGGCAGAGGGAGAGGGAGAAGCAGGCTTTCCGCCGAGCAGGGAGCCCGATGCGGGGCTCGATCCCAGGACCGTGGGATCACGACCTGAGCCGAAGGCAGACGCTTAACGACTGAGCCACCCAGGCGCCCCGCCTTGTGTGTCTTAAGAGATTCTTCCCAGAGGTCATGATGTTACTTTCCCATGGTATCTTCTGAAACCTTGTATTTTTTCTTTTACTGAGGTTTCTGACCTTCCTGGAATGGGCTTTTCCAGACAATATAAAACTGGGAATTCAATTTAATTTTCCCATTAGAAGACCCTGTTGTTTTCAGCACCACTTTCCTTCTAATCCATAGTGCGACACTGGCGTAACTCGTGTGTGTCCGTCCCTCTGGCCGTGCAGTGAGCCTCGGCTCCTGGGGAGCAGATCCTCCCCCCTGTCGGGAACATCCTGCGGTCTGTGACGCTCCTCACTTCCCTGTTAATTTCAAGTCAGTGTGTTAAGTTCACACAGCACGAGCAGAACTGTTGGGACTCTTACGATTATGCGCGCGCGTGCTTGTAGGGGGGTGTGGAGCTGCGTTCACTCTAGAGGACTCTGAGGGGAAAGCGATGTCTTTGCTGTCTTGACTACAGACTCACCCACACGATGCGTCTTCTGCTGCCTGGCCCCTTCAATGCCCTTTAACTAGGTTTTCTGAATTTTTTCCAGGAAGGTCTTATCGCTTGGATTGGATTTGTTCCTAAGTAATTAGTGTTTTCTGATGCTTCTGTAATCGTGTGTTTCTGAGTTTCTGTTTTCCATCTGTGCCTTTCTCTTTGCACCTTGACTTTTGAGTCCGGGCTGCCTTGGTCGAGCCCTGTTCCTTGGACAGTTCGTCTATGGTCTCTGGTGCTTCCTTTGTCCCCAGGCAGGTGGCCTGCGCCGAGTGGCGGCCAGTGTCTTCCTCTTCCCCTGCCCGTTTCTTCCTGCTTTGCTGTGCTGGCAAGGCCCACAGCTTCCCTGGCGGGTGATACGTACGGAAGCTCAGCTGTATCGCTGTTAATGTGATCGTTTTGCAAGGTCTGATTTTTGAAGTCATCCTTCAGTAGAGTAAAAAGAAAATTCCCTTCTTCACCTAGTTTGCTGGAAGATTTTGTTCTTTTTTATGGTGGTTTTTGTCTCCCCCGGTGTCAAGGCCTCTGTCTGTCTCTGGGCCGATGACCCCAGGTTCACAGCTGCAGCTGATGGCTAGCCCCCTTGCAGACTCTCAGTCCTGGCTGCTTCTGGACAGGTCCCCAAAGCTGTGTGACCTCTCGGGTGCCTCGGCCCGCACCTGTGTGCACCCGAACTTCTCCAGCTCGAGGGCAGTGGTGCTGTCCTCCCTGACTGAGGCCTCCCTTGGGCCAGACCCTCCGGGTGATGGACACAGCTGCAGGGCCGGCGGGCAGCCCTGCTCTAGCTCCTCGCTGACAGTGGGTTTGAACTTGGCCTCTCGTCTGCTGCACCCTGTGTGACCCTGAGCGTCTTGCGCTCTCGGGGTGAAAGCTGCCATCGCGCCTCAGCTCCTCGCCCTGGGTTCCCACCTCTGCTTAGCTTTGGAACTGGGAGTTCTCCACAGGTGGTGGTGCTGCTGGCCCGCTGTGTGCAGGGGGGCCTGCTGCAGCTCAGCGAGTCTTGCTTTCCTGCCAGGGCTGAGAGCACTCAGGCTCTCTCTGTCTTAGGAGATCCTGTTTACAACTCTGACTTTAGTTACGGTGAACTAGGAAGCGCTCTCCGGTGATCTCAGGTTTTACGGTGAGAACTCACACTGACTTGGAGCCGGTCGTTTACAAGCATGTTGCGTCCTTTCGGCTTTCCTCTAGAATTGTCCTGGACACACTCACTTTCATCCCCGTTCTACCGGTTAGACACCCAGGCGGGGGTGTCCTGGCCCCCAGCAGCTGCCTCCTCAGGAGCCTGTTCTCCTGCAGAACCGACACACCGACAGGGTGGACGCAAGTGGCCCGAATTGTCTCCCTGCACCGAGGCAGACACGTACGCATGGGATGACGTGTTTGCAAAAGGCAGGCAGGGTGGAAGGTTTATCAGGAACGAGAGCTCAGCCACAGTTGAGGAAAATACAGCAAGATGGTACGGTACGATAACTACTTTAAAATATCGGGCACCTCCTCTCATCCCTCCCGGAGCAGCGCCCAGACTTGAAGAAGGGACTCTCGTGAGCACTCTATCCTTAGTCTGGTTCTCTTACAGAAACTTGGAATGGTTCTTGGTAAAAACACCGTGACTGAGGGGTGAGAGCAGGTAACTTGCTAGTCCCAGCCGCCTGCAGAGCAGGGAGGCGGGCGTTACTCTGCAGGAGGTGGGATGGGTGGCTCCTGGCCTGCAAACGGAGGATCGCTCTTGGGTGGCATCTGGCCCCCGATTTGTTTTTGCTTTTGCATTAAGAACTGAGAAGGAAAGAGAGGGAGAGGAATCTTCTTGTGCACACGCTCGTTTGAATTCTACATTTGGCTTTTTTTGTTTTGTTTTGTCAAAGGTTGCCAAACTCCCTCAAGTTGTCCAACAGCAGACACCCGTGCCCAGCATCCAGCAGGTCGCCTCTGCTTCCCAGCAGGTAGGACCTGCAGATGTGCAGCCCCCCGGGGAGTCTCACACAGACTTTGCAGTAACCTTCACGTTTCCCGTTAGGGGAGTTCTTGGTTTTCACTCGGAGAAAGTAGAATGTCAACTATCAGAGAATCACTTTTGATGTTGATAATTCAGAAAAGATTAATTTTGGGGACAACACTTAATCCTTAGGCTAGCAGGACACAAACTGAACAGCCAGTTCAAACTCAGTGTCATGTGTATGAAGGGAGCCCGTCCATCTGTGGGATCATTCCTTCAGCCAGCAATTTCAGATGCGTCCTCCAAGCCGAAGCCCGTACCTTAGTTTTAGGGAAACACAGAAAACACAGTCTGCTGGCAGCGACCTTGGTCCTGGAAGTGTCAGTACTACTGGGGACAGCAGTGACCATTGTCACTGAACCGGCAGGCTCCTGCCTTTGTATTTACTGCTGCAAAGTGTGGCTGTGTAAAGCAGCGCTTTAACAAAACACTGTTTTGTTCAAAATCACATGGCGTGTAGATGTCAAGGAACCAAATAGCACTAAAAGCTGAATGCCGCCACCAGGCCCCAGCCGTCAGCCTTTTCCCAAAAGCAGCAGTGATTTCGTTCAGGGGCTCTTTCCTTCTTCTGTGCGGTCGGGAACCAGAGGTCATACTGTGATGCGTCATGTAGTTCTCACATTTCACAAAAGCATTTGTGCTGACAAGGTTCCTAAAACCCCCTCCCCATCCCCAGGAACATTTAATCGGCTGTGTCACTAGATCTGTGTTTTCTAACTGTTCTGGCCCAGGCTTCCCCGCAGACTGTGACCCTGACCCAGGCAACGGCGGCCGGGCAGCAGGTGCAGATGATCCCCACGGTGACGGCGACGGCGCAGGTGGTGCAACAGAAGCTCATGCCGCAGCAGGTGGTGCCGACCGCAGCGAGCCAGCTGCAGAGCCCCGGCGTCCCCAACCCCGCCCAGGTGCCAGCCAGCTCCGACAGCCCCAGCCAGCAGCCCAAGCTCCAGATGAGGGTCCCTGCTGTCAGGCTGAAGACGCCCACCAAGCCTCCGTGCCCCTAGTCGCAGCAGCGGGGCGGCCTCAGGGCCACCGTGCTCTCCACCACCTAGCCAGGAGCGGGTAGAGTTTATTTATTGTGGAACCGTGGCACAGTGTCATTTGTTCAGCACTGGGGAAGTTACAGTGGAAACAAAGTAGCGTGTCATCATTTTATCACCCTGCCTCCAACACCGCGGGGGTGGCGAGCCGCATTATGTGCCCCCCGTTTCCGTATCAGGTGACCAGGGAGGAAGTGCTGGTGGCAGCTTCAGCTTTCCGTCTCTCCTGCAGGGCGGTAGTGCTGGGTTTTGAAAGCCATGTGGACTCTGTGTTTGTGTGCAGTGTTCTGCACGTGGCCACGTGGAGTGTGCAGCGAGTCATAAAGTAGACTTCCTGAAGCTAAAACGTGGTCTTAGACAGCGTCTGCCTCTGCTCGGTTCCATATCCCTAACTGAACACTCATTCTGGTCCTTGGAGAGGAGAGAGGCCGGCTGACGGAGAGCATCTCAGGTCTGAGGAAGCCAGCGTGGTTTCTTCTTTCCCTCCTAAGTGGGATTTCCAGGCACATTGATGACCTGCTCCCGGCTGTGGTGAAGGGTTACCATTCCCCAACTGAGTTTTCATTCCAAAGAGCAGCCAGTGGGGCTGCCCCCGGGCCCTCCCCGCGGTGTGCGGGTGTCCACCGCAGCACATCCAGGGTACTCTCCCACCTTGCAGATGAAGCTCATGTTTGAACGTAGCACACTGAAGCAGGCCCATACTGCTGTGCGGGTGTCGTTACGCAGCAGAGGTCACTGCTGTGTGAGGGGGTCGGGGGGTGCCTGTCCCCTCCCCCTCGCACTCCTGCCCAGCCCAGGTGGGATCTGCTGACGGTAGAGAAGCCCCGCGGACCGAGCGCAGGTGTCACCTACAGAAACGGGCGTCGTGAGCCCTTCATGGTGGGCTGGTAACGCCAGACTTCTGTTTCTTGCGATGCCGGGGTCTTGCACGGGAGCAGATGCACTCCCTCGTGGTTCCAGGTAAAGCGGAGAACCTTCTGTGCAGTATTTGGGGGTGCGGTTGAGGGACAAAGAGGAGGTCCCGTGTTTGCTTCTGTTTTATTTTTTTACTACGGCAAGCTAATAGAAGTGTTTGCGGTGGGCTTGGTTGGCCGATGATGTCTGTTTTCCTGGACGCTTTCACCCAGGCCAGTGCGTGTGCCGGCTGACCCCTCTGCTCTGGCTCTGTGGCTCTCTTCTGTTACTGGGCCCAGAAAATCAGGTCGTGTCGGGTCTGTGTGGGCATTCTGAGAGATTCTCACTTTTCATTTTCTCCGTCCTTCCCCATGTACCACTTGAAGTGACACGAAGGAACGTGGACCGTAGTTTTGGTTTCCCATAGATTTGTGTGGACAGGAACATGGCGGCATTTACTGAAGCAGCTAGGCAGCCCATTATTGAGCTCTGGGTGAGAAATTTGGAGAAAAGTAAAAATCAAGTGTTGAAAACGTGGAAGGGACTGAACGTTTTAGTTCACTTGAATACAGGGAAGCAGTCCTGTGGTCTGTGTTCTTGCACCCACACTGGCTGGTTCTGGCGTGGCCAGAGCTACTGGGAGAGGACACAGCGTGCAGGGGGCTCCTGCTGTCTTACCCCAGACGTGCCGAGCTACAGTGTGTTTCAGCTTCTTGGGATTTGTGCGCCCAGTTCGTCTGCCCCTTGCTCTTCCTGGGGCACCGGCAAGTGGCTCGGGGAGGAAGAGGCCCCGGCCGCACCTGCTGTGTGGCGCACCCTGCTTGGGGCTGCCCAGACGGAACAGCGGGAGAGTGCAGAGCATCTCTCAGAACTGAGCTGGGGTGCGAGCGCAGGGGCCGTGGGGCCCCTACCTTCCTTAGTGCACCAGTGAGAGTCCCTCTTGGGCGAGGGCACGTCCTTCACTGGCTCCTGATGCAGAACGCAGAGCAGACGGTTGCCTTTCGTCCTACTTAGACGCACCAGCGGCCTCACCGGCTTCAGTAGTTGCTCCAGGAAACATCCTCCTCCCCGTGCGTGGTTTTCTCGGTCTTCTGTTGTCAAGGGTACACTGTCCACGTTTCTGAGAGGACTGGCGTTCTGGCCAGGACAGCGCGCGATGCCTGGAAGTCACGCCCGCCGCCGGAACGCTGTCCGAGCCGTCCTTCTGCACTGACAGTCGCCGGCTCTAAGGCCAGGCTGTTTTCCAGGAAGCCGGGCCCGCGCCTGTTCCCGCGTGGTGCCTCCCGAGGCGGGGCTCGCCTGTGTGCAGTCCTCACCGCTTTCTGTTCCCTGTGTAACCACACAGCTGTTGCGTTTAAAATATAAAGGAAGAAGACTGAAATTGTAAATACTTTGTAAACATACCCATTTGTACTTGAATAGTAGGGTTTTAAAAAGGGCACTGATATCCCGCCAAACAAAAGGTATAATAAAATGACCTTTTTCTATGCCTTCTCGTTTTCGCTTTCATAAACTGGTATTCAAGTTAAAGTAAGATGCTAGTTGTGTTTCTTTGATTTGTGTGAAGAAAACACAAAGGGAAAACACGCAGGGTTGGAGGCAGGGGCCCCCACGCCATAGAAGGAGTGGAGCATGCTGGGTGGTTCTCAGGGAAAGCTGCACTCTCCCTGAGGAGTCGGCCTTCGCGCTCCAGAGACACGTGTGGAGGAACACCTGGTACGCTGCCGCCGCCACTCTGTCCTCGTGTGACCTGCCGCCCACAGGCACCCCACCCCGTCTGGTGGAGGGCCGGGTGCAGCTCCGCACGTGCTCCACCCAGCACTGCTCTAAGCAGGCGGCCTGCATGTGTTACTTTTATTTATCATCTCTTTTGCTTTTAGATTACTTTTCCTTTTGTTAAAAAAAAAAAAAAGTTGCTGGGGGCGCCTAGGTGGTTCAGTCGGTTGAACGTCCGACTCTTGGTTTCGGCTCATACCATGATCTGAGGGTCCTGGGATCCAGCCCCGCGTTGGGCTCTGCACTCAGCACGGAGCCTAGTGGAGATTCTCTCTCCCTCTCCCTGTGCTCATCCCCTGCTCACTTCCTCGCTTGCTTACTCTCAAAACCTTAAAAAAAAAAAGTTGCTGATAACAAAAAAATACCTACCTCTTAATTAAAAATATGCGCAACTTCATACAATGCTAAGAAGCACCCCAAGTAATCTGTGGTTATTTTTTATCTTCCACTGCAGAAATGCAGGCCCAGGAACCACATGGGCCTGTAGCCTCGGGCTCCCATTTCATGTCCCCCCGCCCCACCTCGGAGCCAAGCCTGCAGGCTCTCGTGTGCATCACCTGCATGCACAGACCTGGCTGGGGGAGTCATGGGGCACCTCACTTATGACCCTTTGCCAAGTGCCTGCCAGGTGCTTGGTGTGGAGAGGATGGGGTGCTCCGTGGGTGGTGTGGCTCTGCACTCTGGTACCTGCCTACCATGTGACGGGGCCAGTGACTCCGCTCCTCGGGGCCCTGGCTTCCTCCTGTGTATCCTTCTCCCAAGGCGGCTGTGACGTTTGCAAAGCTCTTAGCCTCTGCACTTGGTAGCTTATCTCATCGTGATTATTCTCAACGGAGAAGATCGTGTGTTTTCCGAACCCTTCTGTCACCATGACCGTATGAGCATGCCCTTGCCAACTGTATGTAGCCAGGAGGCCGAGGGTGGGCTCATCTGGCCCCAGGCTGTATTTGTATGTGTGCATTCGAGGTGGGGCGGGGTTGCTAAGTGCAGTGATTCTGCTGTCTGGCTGCAGTGGGAAGCACCTCTGAGCCCAGGGGTCCATTTGCCACCACCTCCAGCGCAATTCCGTGTAACGTAAAACACACCCAGTGGGCTTGCGCAGGCCACTTGCCTACAACCAGCTTTCGAGGTCTCACTTAGGTCTGTTAAGCAACCTCATCTCTGCTGCTCAGATCCCGTGTCAGCCTCGGCCAGGGTGCTTTCCACGCTCCAGATTAGGGGCTGTGGTTTGGGGAGAGAAGAGGGGGACTTCTGCTGTAGGTCTGGGCAGTGGTTCTTCCCTTCTCTGTCCTTGGCCCGCATCGTCCATACCCTAAAATAATCTTCTAGAAGTCTCACCTTAATGGATAATTAGGGTATGTACATTCAGTGAAATAGAGCGCAGCTACTTTTTTAAAAGATTATTTATTCATTTGAGGGAGACAGAAGGAGCAGTGGTGAAGGGCAGAGGGAGAAGCAGTCTTCCCACTGAACAGGGAGCCCCACGTGGGGCTCGTTCCCATGACTTGAGCCAAGTGACCATGACTTGAGCCGAAGGCAGACGCTTCACCGACTGAGATGCCCCTAGAGCATAGCTATTAAGAACAAGGTAGAGCCATATAGTCTGGAATGGAAAGGTCCCGCTAAGGTTCAGTAAGTAGGTCCTAAGGTGCAGAATTGTGTGGGATGCTATCAGAATGGAGCTACATGTATGCCTGGATGTGCGTAGAATGTCCTGGAAGGGTTTGTCTGCCTCTGGGGGGGGGGGGTTGCTCACGGATAAAGGGGGTGTTTACTTCGTACTGTTTGGCATGCCCTTTTAATTTAAGCAGTTTGCCAAGTACATTAAGTATTAAGGCTCTATAACAATAGCATTTTCATCATGTGCTGGCCCTGCTTAGGAACCTTTATGGGAGCAGGTTCCAGCTTCCCTGAAGCTACGACTCACTGGTGCCTGGCATACCCTTCTGCTCTCCGACAGCCTTCATCCCCCCGCCCCCGACTTTCACTGCTGTTTTTGTTCAATCCTCATCGCAAAGTACTCTGAGGCCCAGCCTACACAGCAAAGTGTGCGCTGGCTCATGGATATTGTCCTAATCCTGTGACCCCGGCCTCCTAAGAGGGCAGTACCTCTCTCCCCAGCTGCAGGGCGCTTCTGTTTTCTCTCTGTTCAGTGAGCATTTGTTGAAACACACGTACCACGTGCCAACTTGATCGCTGGTGGTAGGCCTTTTTTAAAAAACGGACAACACTTGACTCTTCCCTTTATCTTAAAGGAAGAATTACTGGTTTGTTGGCAGGGTGACTGTTGAGTA